TCATCTCACACAAATCTTAAACCTTTTAACACAAATAAAAAAATACAAATTTAACTGAATTTAAACTACATTGCATAAATATGATATTATATGTATCCGATGGATACTCACCTAACATATATATACAAAATAACTTTATGAGATTTTAGAAAATTAATCTCTCAAGAGCATAATGACAGATTGTGATAAATTTGTCAGAAAAAGGAAACAAAGAGGACAAAGAAGTCGGAAAGACATAAAAAACAAAAAGCGAGTAACAAATTAGAAAAGTTTGTTTTGGGTTTACGTAATACTACATTTTTACGAATTATTTATTCTTGTTTTATTATATGTTTGTTAGTGAGGGAAAAATGTGAGGAGAGGATTGAAACACGACTGTAGAAAGAAGACAGACAATTGAAGACAGATCTTATCTCTATCCCTCCCACGACTACTATCTTTGGAAACACAAAGCTATATGTGTTCTTTTTTATAAAAAATTAATATCATTTCACATAAAATAGTCAGAGACAAACAATTTTCGAAATTTTATGAACAATACGTAACCATTTATGAGATGTGTCATGCACGTGATGAAAAAACTAAATAAGGAAAGGCTGTACATAGAAATCTTCTTGGTTAAGAGACAAAAGATCTTTTCTAGGCTTTGGTCCATGTATCTGCCTTTCTTTTCTTTTCTTTTTTCATACTTCTTTTTTGTAAGAATATAATCCAAGAGTATGCATTATCATCAAAGATTAAAAAAAAATAGGCTACCTTACTATTTCTGGAATTATACAATATTTTCTTATGTAGAAATTTAACACAAAGGCTGATAATTCTACCGTACCTGACCAAACTGTATATATGGAGGGTCAGCTGTAACGGAAAAAAATAACTGTTATTGTAAGAAAACTATAGGTAATTAGTGTCAGTTAATTAGTAATACAAATGTCAATATGTCAAAACTAACTTAATTAAGAATGAGATAATTGGATGATTTGTTGAGTGCTGAATGGAGAGCACGTGCTTGTGAAGTTAGTAGTAAGCTATAGAAAATGAAGGATAATGCGATAACATGTGCCTTATCCCGACAAAACACATCTCACATGTAAATATAGATATGTGCATACATATTATCGTATAAAAACGACCAAAATGTGAAATTTATACACCCTAAAATACCCACTAGATAACAATCTTTATTAACTTATACAGTGATATCAACCACCTTTCATATTTTTCTTTGTTTTGTAAGTAAACTTTTTACATTTATAGCAGGAATATTAAATTAGTTTTCATATTGATAGCTTTTACTAAAATTTATGAGTCCAATTTTTTAATTATTCTTTATACATCAAAATTCACATCTCCAATTATATACAGAAATTACTAGAAGGCATATCTTATACACACTTGATATATTAAAGATAAATTTTCTCTTTCTTTTGAAACATATATATACAGATATAAATAGAGGCAGATACATGTAACCTAGCTAAAGAAGCACTGGTATCTCAAAAAATATTTGCCCTTTCTCTCTCTCTCATACTATTTGACATCTCTTTCTCTCTCTCTTTCAAATGTCAATAAACCAATACTCAAGCGATTTCCACTACCATTCTCTCATGTGGCAACAACAGCAGCAACACCACCACCACCAAAACGACGTCGTGGAAGAAAAAGAAGCTCTTTTCGAGAAACCTTTAACCCCAAGTGACGTCGGAAAACTCAACCGCCTCGTCATCCCAAAACAGCACGCCGAGAGATACTTTCCACTAGCGGCCGCCGCCGCAGACGCGGTAGAGAAAGGACTTCTCCTCTGCTTCGAGGACGAGGAAGGTAAACCATGGAGATTCAGATACTCGTACTGGAACAGTAGCCAGAGTTATGTCTTGACCAAAGGCTGGAGTAGATACGTCAAAGAGAAGCACCTTGACGCCGGAGACGTCGTTCTCTTCCATCGCCACCGTGCTGACGGCGGAAGATTCTTCATTGGCTGGAGAAGACGCGGTGACTCTTCTTCCTCCTCCGACTCTAATCGCCATTTTCAATCCAATGCCTCGCTTCAATATTATCCTCATGCAGGTACCCTTTTTATTTAAAATTGTTTTTTTTTTTTGAACCTAAATTAAGATTACTAAAAAAAAAAAAAAAAAAAAAGATTACTAAAAAAAAATAAATCAGATTACTCTTAGAAAAGATCAAATGTCGAATATCTTTGACATTTAAAGGTGTAGTGAAACTACTAGTTCCCAACCCATTTTAGCTAGATTATTAACTAATCTATTGAAAATAAACACAATAATAAGAGTTATGGAAATTGGAAAAGAAGTCCATTTTGTCGTTTCTACTTTTGTCAACGTATAATTTTCATTTTACATGCATAGATTGGATAGATAACGGCATTAAAATATAACGAGTGATGAGATATTTATTTAAAGTTAAAAAGTGAAAAATCTATTTCATGAAATGTATGAGGTTACGTGACCCAATTGAAAGACTCTTTATCTTGTTTGGGTTTGTATATGGGCGCGTGGAGGTAGACGCGCTTTAAAGTAAGTAGAGAAGTAAAAATAAAGAAATGATGGAAGCCCATAGAAACAGAATCGGATTCGTATTATCTGCTCTGCGTGACATTTGTTGCGTATATATACTTACACCTACTCTTTTCTCCAATTTTCATTTTTCATTATACATATAAACTTATACATCAATGTGAATATATGTACACCTCTTTAATCGGTATCTTGGACCGTAACCAAAACGGCATGCAGTAGTTCCTCACATGTTCCGAATATATTCATCAGCTAAAATTCGATTCAAGACATTAACCAAAGTCCAACATAGTTTAAGAGTACATACTTAATTATTTTCAAATATATTTAATTGTTTCATGTGATGTGGACATTTTGTAGTACCAATGTAATTCGCATATAATATAACGTGGCGTCTCATTGTGGTAAAGCTTGTCATCTGAGTACCAAAATTGGAAATTCTCTTCCGATTAAAGTCTTGTTCTTTTGGGAAATTATGACTAAAGTCTCGGTAGTTATCCATTATAGATTCCTAAATTTCATTTTCTACATTAATTTATATAACATTGATGGTATCAAATTGTATGGCACATATATAGGGGCTCAAGCGGTGGAGAGCCAGAGAGGGAACTCGAAGACATTGAGACTGTTCGGAGTGAACATGGAGTGTCAGCTAGACTCGGACTGGTCGGAGCCATCCACACCTGACGGTTCTAACACATATACAACCAATCACGACCAGTTTCATTTCTACCCTCAACAACAACACTATCCTCCTCCGTACTACATGGTACGTTTCAATTAGTATTATTTAAAATAAACAAAAAGTTATTAGTTTATTTTCGCTTTCTTAAAGTCTAAATATACTAGTTAAAGATCTAAGTAGATGTCCATATCATTTAACCGACATTTTACGTTTATAATTAGTGCGTCTTCAAATTCAAAGAAAGTTAATTGAGTTGGTTTGACCCTTTTGTTGTATTTATAGTTACCACATACCAAGAATCTCTACGTCCATTTAGCAAAATATAGTGGAGTATAACAAAAGTCCAAATAATTATTCAGAAAAACTGTCTTGTTAGCAATTATCTCTAATTCTATCTATATGTGTTTTATAGTTTTATTTAGAAACTGAAGATAGGAACAAATGGTCTTTTTGTTTCTTGGGTTGGGGAGGTCATTAGAGAGTGAAGTTGTACTGTTCATATATCACGCCGAGTGGTCTATCCAAAAATCTTATCCCCAAAAAAAAGTGCGGTCCATTATTATTAAAGTTGTTGTTATTACTACTATACTATAAGTGTTAGTATTATCAGTGTATGTTATTGTTAGGCACGTTTCTCATTTATATAAATCATATGCTTTTTGGTCTTCAAGAACAGTAATGTTGACAATTCCGTCAAACTTTTCTTCTATACCTAATCTTTTACACATGAATAATTATTAAGCATAATTGATGTGTCGATGTTACGTGTGTACGTATACATATAGACACATATATGTCTTGTTCTCACATCTATTATTGGATTTTCTTACAATAAAATCTACTGTTTGACAACGAAAATATTTGGATTTTGGACATATTATTCTCCACAAAGTGTTTGCACCAATAATAGATACAAATTATCATATTATGTTTTTTTGGGAGATAAGTTACATCTACACATAATATATCTCTTTATCTTACATAAGTCAAGAAACTGGAAAGTCTACTTGATACTTTTGCAAGGATTCTAAAATCACATGGTTTTTTAACAAAAGATTTTTGATTTTATTTTGCAGGACATAAGTTTTACAGGAGATGTGAACCGGATGAGAAGCCCACAAGGATAAAAAAAAGAGAGCTTCACATCTGGTCCCTGCAGTCATGTTTTGTTTTAGATGTTGATCCCTTAATTTTACAAGCTTCATTTTGTATTATTTAAAGTAAAATCGTATTTGATTCTTCTTTAAATCTCTCTCAATTTTCACTCTCTTCCTTTTTCTTCTTATGTATCAGATTCTTTTACATAGCTAACAATTGTATAGAATTCAAAGTTCTGGCTATTCCAAAGTTATCCTTTCTAGATCTCTTTATATATTTTGTTATGGAGGCAAATATCAACAATTTATGTTAAATTGCATTCTTATAAAACCAAACTAACGGAACCTTAATGGGCCTTAGTGGTTCAATTCATTACTACTATATAGGCCTAAATCTTTACAGTATATGAGCCAAATGGCCCAAACTATATATACTGTTAAGAAACGACGACGTTTCTAATATCAACTCTCGAAATACACCTATCTGTGTATCCAAACAAGTCTTTAAATGGTATCGACAGAAACCTCTCTAGGGCTTAAGTGTTTAAGGCAACACTCCTGTCTTCTGGGTTTGGTTTGGTTTGTTTCTCAAGGAAAAATTTCAACTTTCTTTTCTTTTTTCAATAAACCCAAAGATATGTTTTCAATCTTAATCTGATTCTTTCTCGCAGCGGCTAATTCGTAGACCGCTTATAGGCTCTGTTTCTTCAAAGTTTATTCTAATAGAAAATCAGTACGAAGGTTGTTGTAATGGCGAGTAGAAAGCTGGTTCGAGATTTACTGATCACAAAGCAGCCTCTTTTCCAGCAATTGGTGCACCAACGGGTTCGTTTCTGATTATTTGTTTCTATTGATTGTGATTACGAGCTCAAAATGGGATTTTGGTGATTCATTTTGTGTTTGATTTTAGAGAGTGGGCGCAAGACTAGGGCTTCTGTCGGGAAATGGGTTTGCGAGTCATCGCCGGTTTAGTGTTTTCAGTGAGTTCTCGAAGAAAATTAGAGGAGAAGCTGATAGGTAAAATCATTTTTTCAATGTTAATAGTGGTGTTGGAACTTGAAAGTTTAATCCTTTTTTTGTTTACATTGGTGTTGTAGCAATCCTGAATTTCAAAAAACAGTGAAGGAGTTCAAGGAAAGAGCAGGAGAGTTGAAAGGTGTTAGAGAGGACTTGAAAAATAGGTAATTTACATTTTGTAATTGCACGAAAATTGTGGTTTTTTTTGTACATTTTAGATACTTAGTATGTCATAAGTAAGCTTAAGGAATGAAATGGGAAATGCAGAACGAAACAAACTACTGAGCAGCTGTATAAGCAAGGTCATGGAGTCTGGACAGAGGCTGAATCTGTGGCCAAAAAGGTATGCTTTAGTAATTGCCGGCACCTTATCTGTTTCGGATTATCTCCTTCGGGAATGTTAGGAAAGGCAAAGACTTTCTAAGCTAGGTTGTGTCTTCCTTGCTTGCTAGCTTTGCATTTTTGATTTTCTTTCTGAAATCATTGGCCTTATGTATGCTATATCTCTCCTTGTTTGGTAACTTAATAGTTTTAGAGAACTGTAACTCACTTTTTTTTAATGTGTGACTAGTTAAATTTGTACATTGTAAAAAGGCTAAGAATCGTCTCTAAGAAAACAGCTTTGACGATGCAGGTCTCTTCAAGTGTGAAAGACAAGTTCTCAGCAGCCACAGAAGAGGTCTTGCTGGAATTTTTCACTTTTTCTTTGTTGTCCTTTCAGTTGTTAATTGTGGTTTTTTTTATTAACTTGGTTATGTATCTGCTGTGGTCAGGTCAAGGAGTCATTCAAGCTCGGTAAGGAGGAGAATGCAGAGTCAGCAAGTTCATCAGGCACAGGAACCACTGAAGGAGAAAAACAACAGCAGCAGCAGCAATCAGGTACTACGGCGGAGCAAGATACATTTTTTGGAAAATTCAAGTCCAGCATTTCTTCACCAAAACTATCTGAGGCGTTTCACAAGCCTCTTGACTTTGCAAAGAAGGGACTTGACATTGTAAAGGATGAATTGCGTGGAAACCCATCTAAAAGGAAGCACCTGGAGTATACACCTCCGCCGCCATTTACAGGTGAGAGAAGTACGAGAACGGAGATAGTGATTACGCCAACAAAACAGTCTAAGTGGCAAAAAAAATGGGAATCCTTAAGAGAAAAGGTATATGGCCCTCTTTGTTTTGTCCACGTATGCGATGTTTATAAGGCCCTTGTTGAGTGTTTTCCTTAAATTTGGTTTAGATGCAAGGTTATCCTGTATTTAAACGTCTAAGCGGGATGAGTGAGCCTGTTGTCAACAAGAGCCAAGAGGTGATGAACATCTTCTCTTTAATCATTTTGTTCAAATATCTTACCTTGCATTACTGTCTTTTCTGAGACTGCTTTGTTATTGTAAATTGGCAATGCATTTGGACCGTGTAGATTGCAGAAGATGTGAGGGAAAAATGGGAAACCAGTGATAATCCGATTGTTCACAAGATTCAGGAGTATGCTCTAATTGCTCTCTTACTATCTTTCTTAAAAATTTACTTACTTACAGCAGCTTAGTGACATGTCCATTCTTTTGTTTGGCAGCATGAATGAGAAGATCTTTGAGGAAACAGGTTCTGCAGCGACTTACAAAGAGATACGTCGCCGAGATCCGTAAGTTATAGAGGCTGATTATTTGTTTGAAGATATGGCCCTGGTAATCATATTGTTATCTCTTTCATGGTCAGATCATTCTCCTTGCCGGACTTTGCTGTAGAAATTCAGGAAGCCATCAGACCAGTCTTGAATGCATATAGTAAGGTATATCTCAGGTTTTTGAATAGATCATCTCCTTTCATCCTTGTTTTTGTTGCCTCTAATTAGTTCCCATCTTTGTACAGGGAGATGCTGAGACCTTGAAGAAGTATTGCAGCAAGGAATTGATTGAACGGTGCACGGCAGAGCACAGAGCTTTCCAGAGTCATGGCTATTTTTTCGATCACAAGGTAAGGTTTTTATTATTGGTTCACCCACGGGATCCCGGTTCTCGTGAAATCATGTAAATCTCTGAGTAACTTGCTTCGTTTTGTGGTGAGTAAAATCGTTTTGGCTGTGATGTGCAGCTTCTGCATGTATCTGAAGTTGAAGTTAAAGAGACAAAGATGATGGGAACTTCTCCAGTAATCATCGTCAGGGTAATGATCTTTGTTTTCCTTGTGAGGTCATCCTTTAACTAAGAATTGGGGTTGATGGATTTATCAATCTTTGATGTCAGTTCCAAACGCAAGAAATCTTCTGCGTTCGCGACCAGAATGGAAATATCAAAGAAGGAGGCCAGGTAAAAAAGAAATGTTGAATCAAAATCATTAATCAAACCCAAAACATATGGGCAATGCCACAGTCCTTTAAGAATTTGTTGTTGTTGTGGGTTGGATATAGGACACGATACACACGGTGTACTACGACTGGGCAATGCAACAAGTGGAGGCAGCAGAGTTAGGGGAGGATGCGATTTATCCCATTTGGAGGCTCAGAGAAATGCTGAGAGCGGGTGTTCAAGCTCTCATTTAAATCCTTCATCATCTTTTTAACTTGATAATAAGTTAAGCCTCTCTCTTTGCAATGTACCATTATTTGCTCAAATCTTGTTCTCTTTTCGTTACCTTCTTCTCTCTGGAAGGAGTGGGTTCCCATGTTTCCGGGGAATAAGTTTTGACAAATATATAAATAGATCTCAAGTCTTTTTCAAGTTTAACGAAGTTTATTGTTTTGTTTGTGTTCTAAAAGGGTAATAACTCTTTGGTTAGAAAAAAGATTTGTCATTGTTGAGAATCTCAACTTGAGATACAATGTCCTCAAACATTCTAATCAACGCAATTGGTCTTTCATATATCACTTAGCTGATCACAAATCCCCTTAAGCTCACACAAATGCTGCATTCCTCTTGTCAATCTTTTTGTAGCATAGCTTGGAGATCAAACTGTTTTGCTACAGAGCTCCTAATATATCGGTTAAGGGTTTATATAAATGATAACAGGTGTTTAATCCAACCACATGGCAGAGAGATTCAACTGAAAATTTTCTAAGAATCCATGATTTCAAGTCCACATCTGTCTCTTCAAGTCTTGCCAGAGGGCATGGGGTTCTTCCATAAACAAGACTCCTCTTGGCCCATCAACATATCCATGGCCCATACAGAGCCTTATCATGTGAATGGTAAAATATGTTTGGGGTTATTCTTGAAAGCATCTTAAATTCATGGCAACAAATGTGAGAAAACAGAAATATGGGTAGCGGAAAATAAATAGTTACCCACTCCAATTCTCGTCGCACCAATAGTAATTCAACTGCCCCAATTTGCATTAGCGTTTGTGTGTTTCGTATCAGAGAATCTCTCAGTTCTTGTCTTCTCTCTCAATTTAGGTCATCAGATCTCACAATCAATCGACTCGAACCCTAATCATGACTCTTGGCTCAGGAGGATCCAGTGTTGTCGGTAAATTTTCGATTTTTTTTTTGTTTCTCTTAAGTTTCTCTAGGGTTTTTGATTTGATACGAAACCGTTTCTTGGGTTTATCTTTGATAATTTCAGTCGATACTTTTCTTGATTGTTTCTGGGTTTCTCTGCATATGAGCCATACTTGATATCTCTGTATCTTGTACTGGGTGATTTGATTGTTTTTGTTCTCTTTATCTATAAACTCTGAAAGTGTTGGTCTTTTGATTGATATGAACTCGCTCGCGTAAGAATTTCTACTAGCGTTCTGTGATAAGTATCCTAATTCTTGAGTTGGGTTTCTCTTTTTTTTGTTAACTATTCCAAATGGGAGTTTTGTGTTCTGGTTGTGGTGATAGATTGTTTTCAAGCTCAGTGCTTTGCTTAGAATATGGAGCTTATTTGTGTAATTTCTGTTTGTTTCATTCACTATAACTGAGCTGTTTGATGTTGTTACTGTGTAGTTCCGAGGAATTTCCGGTTGCTGGAGGAGCTTGAACGTGGAGAGAAAGGTATTGGAGATGGAACTGTGAGCTATGGAATGGATGATGGAGATGACATTTATATGCGCTCTTGGACTGGCACTATCATCGGTCCTCACAACGTAGTTATATCTCTTTTTTTTTTCATCTTCACTTGCTATGAATGATATATATAGGACTTTGTGTCTACTTCTTGAATGGTTTTGGAGTATGAAAGAGGATAGGGAGAATCAAAACCACATTGTGATCTGATCTGACTGGTATTATGTATGTCTTGTGCAGACTGTACATGAGGGTCGGATTTATCAGTTGAAGCTCTTCTGTGACAAAGATTACCCTGAGAAACCCCCGACTGTTCGGTTCCATTCACGTATCAACATGACTTGTGTCAACCATGAAACCGGCGTGGTAAGAATGTGAAGTTTTGAGATTTGTTGCTTTTGTTTTGAATTAGTTTACTCAATGTGAATTTGCATATAGGTGGATTCAAAGAAGTTTGGGGTTCTTGCAAACTGGCAAAGGCAGTACACAATGGAGGACATACTGACTCAATTGAAGAAGGAGATGACTGCATCGCATAACCGGAAGCTTGTTCAACCTCCCGAAGGAACCTTCTTTTAATACTCTCAAAGCCTTTTACCTTTGAGGGGCTTCTCCATTGTTGATCTTCAAGCTTTTTCTTTCGTACCTAAAAGTAAAAACAATGGTGTCTGTGGATGAATGATGATGTTCGATTGATCATCTGGAGTTTAAATCCTTGTGTGCAAATATATCTAGACAACGTTGTCTCATGACTTCATCTTCTCAATTTAGATATAATATGGAAAACCGATCTTTTGGAAGCAAAACACCGTTGTTTGGTCGTTTATACATTTGATTTACTGCACTTTTATTCGACCTGAACTCTCGTATTCTGTTCACATCTGAGCGCAATTCATGCAAGAAATGTCAAGATCATTGGACTGTAGGTCTTAATGTAATTCGGTATTTGAATGTGAGCCCGAGATAAGGTATATAGTTGAAATATGATTCCAATCTTCAGTTATACGAGTGGCGTAACTTGAAGAGTGTTACGATTACGATCTTCACAAATATAATTTAGGACACAAGAAGATTATCTTGTTCTTGGATAAGTTAGACCGCTCAAACCTACATGTTTCAACTTGAGGGAGTTGTTAGGATTGATTTAGTAAGGTAAATTGTATTTAGTTTGAATATATATGCGCCTCTAAAGGGAAATCTCAAATGCTATTTCATCTTCGTCTCTCTCTGTTCCTAATGTCAAAGTTTCAATTTGGTGTCTGATTTGGACAAAAGAGTGAAGGCTGTAATGTCCAGTATTATTAGAATCATGTCGGTGTGTCTGTTTCCTCATGTCCTAGGCTTGGGAAGTGTGTCATATCTCTCCTTCACCTTAAGCTTGATTATTAACGGCAGTCCATTGCCTTTCCTCTACCTTTTTTTCCATGTGACTTTTTGCTTTTCTTTGACAAACATTGACAACTATTTTTATGGCTATCTTTCAATTCATGCAAGTCCTTTTTTGGTTCTCAAGGAATTATCTTTTATTTTCGGTAGTTTGTCACATCATATTATTCAAAGATACTTTACTTTTTTAAGATCTCATTTTCAATGATTAGACTTTTACATTCACTACAAGCGAATCAAATTTTCTTTAGCATTTGACAACATATGGCGAATGGTAAATGAGAGAAAAGTCTCAGCCACCTGGGTTCGGGTTCAAGTAGCATTGGCTACCAGAATTCGAATTCTAACATAGTTTCTCTGGACTCCAGAAATTAGCCTATGGACCTACAAACCCTTCGATCACCTGAATTATATAAAAAAAAAGAAAACATATGGGGAATGTAAACGACTTCAAAACGGATAGTTTTACTCACATCACAAAATTGTACAATATATAACTTCCATGTTCAACGTTCCCAGTTGTTAGATTCGGTTTCAACGTCAACTGCCACGTCAGAGTATATCCTAGCTACTTAACGCTACAACTATTAAGTCATGATCAACCATTAACGGTTTGATAAACAAAGTTAGAATCAATATATGTTTTAGCCAAATCTGTTCGTCAATAGCCGTAAAAAATACTTACATCAGTATACAATTTCTGTTTTAACTTTTTCATCCATAGTTGTGTTACCATTTTACAAACTACAACACAATCAAATCGACGCTACGTTCATGTATCTTCTATTACAAGAAAGAATGAGTGTTTAGATTTGTAAATTTTATATTGACTTTTAAAGTCTATGAACATACCTTACGGTCCTTACCACACGGTTCATGAATCACGCCACCTCATTTCATATCATATACGACCAAATCATTATTTTTGTTAAAGACGACCAAATCATTAGCAACCAATGAATCAATGATGCATAATTATAACAAAAAGTGTAATATAATGTAGAGAATGCATACATACATAACGCAGAAGGGTCCATCCAAAAGCCATGCACCCATGTGCTCATCAATCAACGGAAGGTACGGACGATTTTCGTTTGATTCTTTCTTTGGTAACACATCTTTCATGTTTTGATACTTGATTTTTATTTGGAGTGTGCTGTTGGGTTCATCTACATGATTACATGGATGGTAAGTTGTAACTAGATTAGTAATTTCGAGCAGCTGAAATAAAGTTATGTTTGTTTCGTAGCGTTCGTTGGTTTAGCGATTCACTTCAGTGATTAATGATTAAAAACTAGGATCATTAAAAATTTAATGTTTTAAATTTTTAATCAGCAGTCAGTCGCTGATCGTTGTTGCCAACAAATACAAAAAAATACAATTTAATCGCTGGTGATTACAAAACAAACATGATTTAATCGCTACTATCCTTGTGGTTAGTGAATTCAAAACGAAAAGAACCATATTTGTAGCATTTTTATTTTTAAAACATTATTTTTGGCATTATGATCCCTTATATTTATACTGTTTTTAGAACGTTATCTAGCCTAACTCAATTTTTAATAGCTCAAAGATATTGTTATGTTGGATAATGTACTAAAAATATCTTCATTTTGTTTAACAATGTTAATTACAAGTTAAAACGCATAATCATCATCATTTGTCTTCAATTTGGTAAAAACATTTGAGGTTGCTTTCAAATCTTAATCTTAAACTACCACAAACATCAAGATTTTAAAATTTTTGCATGGATGGAATCAAAACACTCGTATGAGTGAAATTTAGAATATTTGTTTGGGCCACTAGAGACTAGAGAGAAGACAATAATGGTCCCGTCGAAATAAGGATTACAGTTAGATAAGATTGGGCCTACATTCCTTGAAAGCGATAATCTTAATATTTAATCTTCTTATACATTCAAAGATCGAAAACAGTAACATCACATTCTCCAGCTTCTGAGCTACAAAATATTATATATATCTTTCGTATTCGTGACACCAACACACTGTCCCCTCTTCACTACTTTAGTCAGGTCGCTGCAATTTCATGGACCCAAAAACACTCACATTATATAAACCTTAAGATATCTCAATTATTACTACATATGTGTTTCTACGTTATGAATTTCTGTCGGGATAACTTTTTATGTTAAAACCTTGTTCCAACTATTCCCAAACAAGATATCTACATATATAGATTTTTGTATGCATAATTATATCGTCAATCATATAATTTAGATTTGGAAACTCGAGGAAGTATACTTAATAATCGAATTTTATAATTGATTTGTAATATTTATAAATTTATACTACAAGGTGGAACGAGGTCGTAATTATTTGTTTGGAATGGATTGACAAACGGGATTCTTCAAATGTATCCAAAACTGGTGAGCTAAAGGATAATATTACTATATGAAGTTTGTAAATTAGTAGAAAGGAATCATGATTTTGGTGTAGCGATGAAGAGAGAAGGAGGATAGATTTCGTAGGAAGAGGACCACATTCTCAGCTGGTGCATACCACCAAAATGGTCCCTTTCTTTTGCTCTTCCACCACCGTTGAACTTCCATAACTTATAATATGTTATAGCTCTAACAATTTTAATTCTTTACTCTTAGTAGTATTACTTTGGAACGAGTTATGGTTTCATATGAAAAAAAAATCTAAATATTGTTAATTTTCTTTTTTTGAGAATCTCGCTTTCCAATCACGGTTTATCAACTTTAACCTTATGAGCCTAAAACTATGATATATCTAGCAGACTATCTTGACTTTACTTTCAATAGTTACTAAAACAAAAGAGTGAGAAAACAGAGAAATTAAAAAGTTTCGTAGTATCTATCATGGTTTGTAAAATACATGTTGAATCTTTTAGATCATCCATATATATAGTTTTTCTGCATGATCTAAAGTTTAATTAAACCCGGAATACATAGCTTTAAAACTCATAATCTATTGACCAAATTACTAATATATATACCAAATGATTAGCTAAGAGGGATGAGTATCGTTATATAAAGAAAACGTGATTATTCAAATGAAACGCCTACGAAGCATCCATGAAGACAATGTCATAATAAGAATTTAGAAGACATACAGCTTTCAATCATTATCTTCGCTTTTAAAAAGGGAAAAAACCCGAAAAATACCTCATCTATTTTTTATTTGGACGTTTAATACCTAACTTTTTTTTGTTGGAAGAAAAATACCTTCTTTAATTATAATTGGTCGAAAAATACCTTATCTTTAAATTGTTGGTAGATTCAAACCTCTGATTTAACGGTAGTTAACGGACGTAACGATATCAGTAAACGACGTTAAATTATAACAGATAAATAGCCGAAAAATACCCAATCTATTTATTTTTGGAATTTTAATACCCCAACTTTTTGGTTAGAAGAAAAATACCTCATGTAAAATATCTTTTTCTAAAAATACTTCATTTTAAATTATTAGTGGATTCAAGTGTGCGACTTAACAATCGTTAACAATATTACAGAAACATTTAACGACGTTAAATATTAACCCTATGTATATAAATAGATATATACAATTTATTTTCAAAATTTTACAAATATATTGGTGTGATCAAAACTCAATATTACTTCGTTAATACGATCAAAACTCAATCTTTCTCGAACCATTTCTTTCATCTCTCCACTTTTACCTAAATTCTTCTCCACTTCCGCAACTATGCTACTTCACGACCACAAAAATGACAAATCTATCGTCGTCGTCATCTTTGTCACAATCTCTCATTTGTTAGTTGCAGAATCGTTACATTCCATCATTAAAATCACTATCACAAAAATCCTTCTAACTCCAACGATGCCTTTAGAAATGAAAAAATGATGTATTTAAATTTGTAAGAGTGAAGCAAATGATGTATTTAAATTTGTATGTCATTCATTAAAGAAAATAGGAGATCAAAAGAAGTTCTATGCGGGTTAAAAATCATACGTGTTACCATTAGATCAAGTAATATATTTGTAAAAGTTTGTATAAATATTGTATATACTAACAATTCAAAAATAAGGTATTTTTAGACAAAAATATTTAAATGAGGTATTTTTCTTCCAACCAAAAAGTTTGGGTATTAAAAATCCAAAAATAAATAGATGAAGCATTTTTCGGCTATTTGTTTTGTTATAATATAACGTCGTTTACTGATACCGTAACGTCCGTTAACGACCGTTAAATCAGAGGTTTGAATTTACCAATAATATAAAGATAAAGTATTTTTCGACCAATTATAATTAAAGAAGGTATTTTTCTTCCAACAAAAAAAAGTTAGGTATTAAACGTCCAAATTAAAAATAGATGGGGTATTTTTCGGGTTTTTTCCCTTTTTAAAAATCCACATGATTTGTCTAATATCTCCGCTTATAGTTCTATAATTATTTGGAAGCTTCTACTTTTATATATAATATATCATTATTTGTCAATTGAGATGTTTTTAGCTCTTTAATATTTGATATGATAATGATTTTGATATCTCTCCTTCCGTGTCGCAATCTCTCCACTGGCGTCGCGTGAGAGGCACGTGAGTGAAAGTTACGTGCAAAATGGAATTGTGAGAGACTCATCACATGGCACTGCCCTTCTATAAAATATAAATTCACCGATACGATCTATGATTACTTTAAATCATCGAATTTTTTTATTTCTATGATCTACTGCATTCTACAGAAAAGAAATATACATTCACAGTTCAAATATACTATTTTTATGCAAGAATCATTCTCAGTGAGAAATTAATTAAACTATATATTTCGAACATTATACATATATATGTAGTAATATTTCTAGAATCGTCGGATATGAATTATTGACATAAAAGTTAACATGCAATATACCTACACGTAATGTATTGATGCAAACCTATAGATAAATATATGTAAATAGGTTTCAGGTGCGAGCAGTTTCCATGAAAGAGAAACACTAAAAATGTTTCCGATTTGGGGATGAGGCGTGTAATAACAATTAGTATTAAATACAACATTATTGCAAAGTTTGGGGTATTGTCTGATTTTACAAACAAAAATTAGAATTGACCTCATATCTTTTGTTTGTTGGTCAGTTGGTTGGTTGATTCGTTGGTTTAACTGGTAGTTGAGTTTTTCTTGTTATGGAGTATATCATTATCTATATTTCATTCTTTTCCATTTAGATCATTTATCTTATGTTTGACGTCTAAATTATGATTGATATTTATGGATTTCGTTCTTGTTTGGGTTTTGCTGTATTTTTGTTTCAAATTTACAGGAAATATATAGCTATATTAAAATTGAATATAATACTATTGATTAGTTTGATACGATTTTGGTTTTTGATTAACATGTCTATCAAGTGGAGTATGTTATTAAAAAAATTAGTTATGAAGCTAATTAATCTTTTTCATTTTATTTAAGGGGGACTTTTAAATCTGATTTGTTATTTTTTTTAATATCAAATATTAATGGTTACTTTTGGTTCTATTGGAGACATGGATTCAGAATGGAACTAAATTTAAAGGGCATATAATAAATTGTTTATGGAGCAAACTTTTAATGTGACCTAATATTTTGTCTTTCTTTAGAAATAACGATTATGTTCCTTTGCCACGTGCAATACATATATGTAGCCCCCTGGTACGGAAGCTTCACTAATTTTTAAAACCACGATCATTTTGACACTTAGCTAACTTTCAAAATAATTAATATTAAAATATCTCCATTCATCTGTACTCCCTCTGTCCCATTTTATTAGATGTTTAGACTAAAAGCACATATATTAAGAAACAGTAAATGTTCTCTCATTTATGAAAATTCAACCAATAGAAGAAGATACTGCATAATTAAAATAATTAAAAACTATTAAATTAATATAGATCATGCATTGAAAGTAGAGAAAATCTTATATAATGGAACAAATGAAAAAGCCTAAAACATCTTATATATTGGGACAGAGGGAGTATTATTTTAAGTCATATAATAATGTAACACAGTAAACGATGTTAGGCGAATTTCTATTATAAAAAAATATCAGTCGGATTCAAAACCAATAATTTGTGATATGCTCCTACATTCTAAATGATAAAATAAACAAGTTAGAATTCTTTCAAAAAATTCAAAATATTTTTTGAATTGTCTAAGATTGAAGAATGGAAAAACGAAAACAAGAAAATATCATTCATTATATAATAAATACGAAAACAGCTTAACCGAGAAAAGGTGTACTGAATTATAGTATTGAATGAACCCCAACCAAACAACATTAAATTTTGAAGCCAATAATTAAATACAACAACCAAATAAATTTAATAAAGAAATATAATAGACGTTAAAATAAGTAAAGAAATAGAGACCCTACCATTCCTCTCTGTCCTTCTCCCCTTCAAACCCTTAAAATCTTCCCTCCCTCACTCCATTAACTCTCTCAGTTTCTTATTTTTGAATCCAATCCCCAAAACATACAAACAAAAAAAAAGTAAAAGAAGAACAAGAAAATCAAAATTATTTTCTTTTCCTAGTTTTCTCAGAAAGAAAAACATGAAACTCCCATTTCTAAACAAGAACCACTCAACATCTTCATATTCTTCAAATTCATCATCCTCTTCATGGCCATGGCCTTCTTGTAACCAAAACCCTAAGACCTTATCTTTCAGAGCCACCATCACTTTCACCAACCCTATTCACGACCAAGACGACGATGAGCTCGATCCACCGGAGATTACTGACTCGGTAGAGAATGTGATAAAAGGGCTAAGATCATCAGAGAGACTCATCTTCGAAAGCAAAGGAGAAACCAACTCTATACTTGAAGAAGCTACGAGCAAGCGAGAAGAAGAGGAAGACGAAGAAGAAGGCTTCATGCTCTTCTCCTTGGAATCAAACGACCCTTACTCTGATTTCAAGAGATCCATGGAGGAGATGGTTGAGGCACACGCGCTTCACCACGACTGGAAAAGCCTCGAGAAGCTTCTTCTTCAGTTCTTGAAAGTCAACGCCAAGACCAGCCATCGGTACATCTTCGCGGCCTTCGTCGATCTCCTCATGAACTTAGCACTTAACACGAAAAAACCCATCACCAATAGCGACATTTCCAAAGATGACGGCGTCTCGGCATCACGCGCCGCCGCTGCCGGAGAAGCAAGCACTTCTTGTTGTAATAGTATAATGACTCTTGGAGAATCTCCGTCGTCTCCATTGTCATTCTACACGTCGTGTTCGTCTTCTTCTTCCTCCGATGAGACTTCCTCGACGTCCGTACGTTTCTTGCCGCTGTCTTCTTTGTTAGAGATGGATGAGAACACTAAAGACATTATGGTTTAGAACGGTTTTGCTTTTTTTTTTTTTTCTTAATTAATTTGTTCTTTAGCTTAATTAAAATTTGTGCAGAATTGTAACATTGGCTACCCCGATACACATATGGAGATGATGAACCGTATTAATATTATATTGGTATGTATTGTGCTTACCTTTTAATTTTTTCAAAAATGTGGAAAATATTTTTCGTTTTGGGTAGGATAATGATAGTTGGATTGCACTTATTTTTTTGTTTCTTTGGTAAAAACAAGGCTTAGGCCATTGGATCAGTTAATTCATCTCATGTTTTTGACACAACGTGCATAAAAATATTTGCAACGTTAGTTTTTTTTCGTCTATAAAAGAACAAAAGTATTAATAATCAAAACTAAATGAATAAAATAAAATAAAATAAAATAAAAAGTTTCTTTCAAAAGCTTCAATAAAAGAATAGATTGCATATAATGCTTTCACCTTTCAGTCAAAACGTTCATATATAAAAAAGAACTAAATTTGATTATTGACCATTGAGTTGAATTCTGGATACTATGGGGAATCTACACGTACAACCAATTTATCTAGATAATATTTTCACCAGCAAAATTTTGAATAGAATCAGACAAAAGTTTTATATAGTATATAAAATTAAAACTTTGTTTGAACGTTGGATAAGCTGAGAACGGGAAAACAGTGAAGATCTCTTCGCTTCAACGGCAGGTTTGGCTTTAAGATGAGACATGTGGGACTGTGTGAATCAGTGACACAATCCTACGAGATTGTCTCCATAATCTATATTTTACAAAAAAAATTAATGCAAGTATCATAAGTTATTAACATGGGATGAATTTATGTATGATTAATCTCTGACATCGTGTTTTTGATAGATCTTATCTGAGCCGTTGATTTTGAAATTTACTGTCGTTTATATAGCAGGTTTTTGTTTTATAAGAGACTTGGTTCATAGTAGTAAATCCAAAAATAATTGTGACTGCAAGAAAAAAAAGGCTCAGAAATTCAGATATTACAAAATATTAGATGCTGTAAGATATACCTGCATCTGCCCTTTTATAAAAGCCCTGACATCTCTGCCTCTTGTGATAAATCTTCCACGCATATGTAAGCAATACAAACGATTACTATTACCAAACACACAATTTGCGTATGAAGTGTTGACGTTTTATTTAACTATATAGTTTTGGGTGTTTGATATGTATTTTTCTAGAATTTTTTTGATGAGAATTGTGACAGATATACAAGACTAAAAATCATCCTTCCCAACAAAACACTGGACAAAATATTTGATCAACACTTGGCATATTCAAAAAAAAAAAATTCATCTATTTTTAAACGTGGCAGTCGACTCCAAATGGGAACTGCGATAACTTTATTCAGTTACTTTTTTTAAAAAAAGTAATAAGACTACATTCACTAGATTTGCTAATAGACGACCACAAAATTAACATAATTCAGTCACTAGTTTTATTGATTACAACGAATCACTAGTTTTATTGATTACAACGAAACGAACATACTCATGTTTAGTTGTGCTATTGTTAACAAATCTGAAAGTAATAAGACTACACTTAAGAAGCGAAAGACTCCGGATCACCAACCTTAGATTTTTTATTATTATTATTGTTGTTAAGGGATTGATGATGGAACTTTTTTAAAAAAATCCTTAATATAATTATATAACAACACGTATGCTAGTTAAGTAATTAGTTGCATAGCTTAACGGTTATCGACAACGCTATTTAAGATAAAGACAAATGCGTATATTGATTAATATAAAATTTGTTAAAATTGATGTTGATGTCTAGTGATTTTGGTTGTTTTAAAGCCTCTTTTCTCTTAGTTTTCATTGCTTTGCATTCATATTTTGGCATATAGTGTTGCATTTGCATTTGTATTTGGTTTTCTTAGGTACATGAATGGAGCTTGGAGTTTTGGGAATAAATAGAGCAAAAAGGAAGCTAAAAGAAGGCAACTTGAGTAATGAAGATCAAAGAGGGATCAAGAGGTGAAAGGAGATGTCAAGATGTGGTGAAAAAAGATGATTGAAGAAGAGAAGAGGAAGCAATAGACCACCTGGTCGATTCCCTGGTCGATTGACATGGATCAGAGCTACGGACAAGACACCAATCGATCAAGCAATCGACCGATTGCCTCAGGACAAACCAATCGACCAACTAGCCGATTCCCTGGTCGATTGACATAGACCAGAGCTACGGACAACATTTCAATCGATCACTTGATCGATCGATTGCTCTACCCAATAGACCAAGTGGTCGATTGAGTGGTCGATTGGGTGCCTAAACCGGGTCAAAACCCGGTTTGTTCCGGGTTGACCCGGTTCGTTTTTCCCTTTTCTATATATACTTTTAACCTAGTTTTAGATTGTCTTATGCTTTGTTTAGAGATCAAAAACTTCTCTTAAGGTTTCTATCTAAGTTTTTGTATGAATCTTTGGTTCTTAAGCTTAAATATCAAGTACTTCTTTTAAATTCTCTTATCTACCTTCTCTAATTATGATTTCACAAAGATCAAACTTATTGTTTTGTGTAATCATGATCATGAGTGAGTAGTCATTTAGAGTTCTTGGGTTAAGGTAGATTAGGATGGTTTAGTTGTTAGGTTATGGAGTTTAGGGCTAAATTACTTAAGATCCTTACTTATTGGTTGTTTATAACGCTAGATTAGCCTTGATCATGTTGATTTAGACTTTAGGATTTTCATGCCCGGAAGGTGTTCGATGAAATTCCCGAACCAAAACCTTTAAGTGCTTTACATTCCTTACCTTTGGAAATTGTTGACTAGGGTGTTAAGTGGCTAGATAGACTTGTTTATAATGCTTGTTAGTCAATTGATTGCCTTTGGAAGAAGTTGATGATTAATTGATTAGTAAATGGACTAATGTCATGGAAATGTGTTAGTGTTGCTTAGTGTTCTATGGCCTAGGGATCATTGCTTATTAGAAGTTGTTTGAAGCTCCATAATCCACTTCTTAATCATTCCTAATCAATTCCCTTTAACCCGAGAATTCGCCTTTAGTTATCGTTTAGTACTCGTTAATTTTCCGCTTTGTTTACTTTCGAAACTTGTTAGTCTTTTGCATTTTGCTTTCATTTGTTTTGTTTTGCATTGTTTGATTGTTATTTACCTTGTTAGTCATGTTTACAAAACCAAATCATTTTATTAGCCTAGATTAAGCTTTTGCGTGTATTCCTAGTGAGTTGATCAATTGCAAATTGTGGTTCGATATTTAATTGAGTAAAAGTACTACATCAGATGTAAAAACAAAATAATTGTCAACTCTCTACCTTCGAGATTAAACTTTCTGCTGTAACGATTATTAAAATTTCAAGAAGCTTCGAACTTTTGTATCAGTACTAAACCATTTAAATAATTTCACCCTCATCATCTCTCCAATTTGATAAAAATATGTTTTCATAGCTTTCACTTTACTTGCTCTTTTTTGTTACAATTTCCTAGCATGTGTTAACATAGAAAACAAATTTCAGTATTAGATGCAATACAGTCTTTTTAACAGTGATTCTCGATGTTTGGGCATGCATACAAAATGCACCATCACAACTCACAAGTATAAATAAAAAGTCATTAAAAAGTTATAATAGAAGTAATTAAATATGAGCATTATAAATAGATGAGATTGGGTCCAAAGTTTTAGGCCGTGTTTTGCTCTCTTGAAATTCAAAGTTCACATTTATTAGAAAGACCAAATCTCAAGTAAGATAGCAACTTAAGCTCACATATTACCAGGCAACAGTTCTTTGGTGTTGTCTCTTTTTTTGTTTTTACCCTCATTTCTTGTGGTAAACCGTTTTTAGCTTAACTAATGCAAAGTGGTTTCGTTTTGCCAACTTATGAAAAAAAACTCGGTCACACATTTTCTAATACTGTATGGTGTAACTGTTTTGTTAATAAATTGTTGGAAAATTTACACTAAATAATGCAAATGTGATATGTTTATTTGCAAAATAACAAAAATAAAATAAAAATTATGTGTCTCTGACAGATTGGTCCATTGTTTTGGTATAGCCATGCAAAAATTGTAATTTTTTTTACGTTATCTGCATTATTTCATTTCCATCAATTTTGTTATATAGTTTAATAATAGTCTTCACAACGGTTATCTACTTAATTTGATCAATAATTCCATTATCTACTAAAAATGTCAATACAATGATATATACATAGGTCACAGTCGTATTTATTTTGGGGACTTCATGGCATTAAAATGTTACAAGTTACGGTGGTGACCTGTTCTTTTCACTTATCAGTAAATGTTGCTCACCTGCTATGGATCGTGGTTTATTTTGTCTAGCCTATTTTATTAACCCTAATCAAATCCAACAAAGATAACCATTAACCACTTTAGTTCCGATTCAAAATCACTGTATACTAAGCTCTCAGTTTTTCTACCGTTCAAACACTCAATTCGACACCATTTATTTAACTGATAAAATCTTAACTTTATCTAAAACAAATTGGTTCATGAACATAAGTTAAAAATTTCTAGGAAAATGGAAATACAATTAATGTGTTTTGTAATGTCAAATTAAATTGTTTTGTGAGGAATTATGTATTGGGTTTCTCTAAAACTTTTGGACATGTAAAAAGCCTGCAGGTGTGTCTGTTACTTTGTCTACGTTCCAATAATCATATACATCCGACCTATATTTCTAACGGTGGACTCGTACCGTTAGTCGCCGTTAATTTGATTGACTTTTAATTAACACCGTTGGTGAGGGAGGACAGAAGTAGTGGACTATTCACAGACAATATGGTAATTTAAAGATACGTCTGGTCTAAAGCAACAGCCCATATTATTCAAGCCCTTAATCATGTGTGGGCCGATACCATTCAGTAGTCTCTCCGACTTAAAATTATACTCCCTCCGTCCCACAAAGATGAATGTTTTAGAAAAAGAAATTGTCCCACAAAGATAGAAGTTTTGGGTTTCCAATGTCAAATTTAATACAGTTTACCTATTTTACCCTCATTAAACAACAATAAATAATATATTCTTTAAAATGTATTAAATGATTAAAAGGTTAAAATTGTCATTATACATTATTTCTTAAAGAATGTGAAATTTCTAAAAAATATATCTTTGTGGGACGGAGGGAGTATATTTTTGCAATACTAACGTTAACATATGATCGACAAATCCACATCAACAATACGTTTGAGATTTGACAAAAAAAAAAAAAAAAAAAAAATCTACAATATACGAGCATTAGGTATAATTTCTGGCTAACTCCCCAAATGTAACACATTAATCTTCAAACTCCAAACACCAAATCGCTAATTTATAATTTCTTGTCAAGGTGCACACAAGAGTCTTTAAACACCTAAACCCGAATCCTCACCAAAAAAAAAAAAAACACCTAAACCCGAATAGATATTAGTATAATATAGATTGTGAGAAACCATAAACATGTATTTTTTTTTTGATGAATAAACCATAAACATGTATGTTATCTATTAAAGATATATAAAATTTTTAATAATTAACATCGTGATGCGGTGATTAAATTTTTTATCATGGAATTAGAGTTCGAGTTATGTAACTGCGAATTCAATTGTGGCAAGAAATTACTCAAGCCATTTCATATATTCTAGAGATTAGTCTCGATTTAGGTTTAATATCTCAGTTTTTTTTTTTTAAGAACTCGAACTCATTATATTTGGAAACAATACAAATCTATAGGCTACCTTATAAAAAAAATAAAAATCTATAGGCTAAAATTTCAAAAAAATTGAGAAATTTTGCTTCTGAAGCCATTAATGAAGGAGCACGAGAATCTCACAGTATCGTTATTGCTCGTTTTATTGCTAATCGTTAATGCTCCTTTTGGACTTTTAGTCACAGATTTCTGAGCTTATAATTATTACTAGTTGCTGGTTAGTCTAATCTGAAATTTACTTCATTATTGATTACCATATTTACTTTTGGTGGTTGGGTCATATATTTATAGCACCCATTGATTATTCTTTCAACATTAATATGAATGCGTGTATTTATAGTCATAAATATCATATACGAGTCTAGTTGGATGAAGTTATGTATTCTATGGGATTTTGTGATGAGAAACCTTTGTTTCTAATATAGAATCGAACCACCCGGTCGTATCGGTCTAACTCTGATTTCAAAGTATATATGGTTTGGTTTAATTCTATTCACACAACTTTTTTAGCCAATATACGAACACTAGTCTACATAAGGTCGATCAGTGATTACACATTTAACAAAAAGAAAAAGAGTTTCTTTTTTTTTTGTTTTGAGTGTAAGAACTTTGGATTTTGTACTAGTACCAAGTACCAATTGGTACCACCTATCAGATGGTCCAAGCGAACGAAGTGGCTTTTGAAAGAAAAAGAAAAAAAAAACAACTTTGATAATTTTGAACGTTAACAAAAAAAAATTTTTTTGATAATTTTGTACGTTATTTAGACTGAAAAAAAAAGCAAATTATTTTGTTGCCCGTGGAAATGAAAATAAATACCCATCTTGTTTGCATGCAAATAAAAATTACTCAACTGCAATGGTACACGATCCAATAACATGTTGCAGTCTTGTTTTAACTTAAGAAAACAAATAGTATAGGTGAAAAAACAAAAATTCTCATAAGAGAACCGAAACTCTGTAAACTACATCTAAATTTCCAAACCATAATACCCAATTTGTTTATTATATTTAAAATAGTTTCACGTAATGATAATTTAATTAATAATCAGGCAAAAGAAAATTAAAATTTTGGATGCATGTACAATGAATGAGATGGAATGAGTTATAATTTTTTTTTAATACTCTATGGAAATTAATAGTTTGGCTTAACTTTTTCACCTATTAACGATTAAAAAACAAACACTTACATTTACTGAACGAAGAAAAACAAATGTGTTCATATATATACTGAATTAAAATATTAAATTTGCACAGAAGTGATTTTTGAGATTTTCTTACATTTTCAATATCAAAAAAACTTTTCAATAATATTTTTGAAATTTTTTAATTTATTTTATAAACAGATAGAATCTATGTATTATTTTTAAATCAACTGTAATTTTAATAAAATCGATGTTGTAAGTTATACAATACTTATTGATTTGTGACCACAAACTTTACTCTTTCAATGTTTGGTTTGATTAAATATATTACCTATTTTTGGCTGAGTTATTCAGCTAGTTAAATGTTTTTCACTTGTTAAAGTTCTTAACTTTTCATGTACCTGATACCACTCACAAATTATAAAGAAAAAAAAACAAGACTAGTTTCTAACAATTTCAATGATGAACTAGAAATAACTGGGTCAGTGAAGAATTAAATTGTTTGGGGACCAATGTTAAATCTCTTACGACAAAACTTTTATTAGAAAAATGTAATTTCTTGAAATGTCTGTCGAACTGAGTGGGCCAACTAGACAAAAACTAATAATTACAAGTTTCATTTTTTTTGCAACAATAATTACAAATATTTAAAAGGATGGATGGTATCGGAAACTGTAAGACGGGTTCGTCCAAAGTATCATCATCAATAAAATACACATAGGAAGTAATGTGTAATAAAATGGTACATTTAAGTAGTGTCTGCCTCACTATTTATTTATGTAGTTAATATTACACCCTCTTTCTAATAATTACGAGTATCAAATCCCAATGTTCTCTCATGTCTTTTACCGCCCAAATCCACAGGTTCGCTAGTTTTCTATGACTCTTGTATTCTTTTCTTTTTCGCCTATGACTGTATCATTGTGGGGAAAAAATATTACTAGTACAAGTAGTGTATTTTTTTGTCGCATTGTAATGTAGTCCTTTTTTTTGGATTAGTTTGTTTCACAGATATTTTTTTCTATCACTTATACAACTAGCATGTGTATAATGGTTGATTTGAAGATGAATTATGATATTAATATATATATAAATATACTAATAAAATGCCATAATATTTTCATATATTTTATTTAAGAAAAGATTAAAATCTATTAATAAAAGTTTTGAACATTTGGAAAGAGAAAACAAAATTTTTGATTTAATGAGTCTCGAGTTGTTAGACTGAAATAAAAAGTACCAACGGGATAACTAAAATAAAAAGTGTAAAAGCTATATTTCATATCACTCCGCCTAGTTTTCGATGTTTGCAAGTATCTATTTGCCATTAAAAAAACAAATGGTTAAGTGTCTCGAAGATTTGGAGATATATAATACATGAAATGGTTTGCTATATCATATATGCACTATCAACTTGCTTTTTAGGTGACTAAACACTTGCAATCCAAATAGTATACTGTGGTAGATCAACTACACATGATCACACACATCTGTAAGTCGTCCATTTTCCATATTTGATTATCTGACATAGTGACATGTGCGAATCAAGTCTTGTCTTATCTGGCGTCTTTCCATAATCATAACCAATGATTAAGATTTGCCGTACTGAATCATCTTTACACACGAGGATCCATTCTTCCATTACCCGATCATTATCACACCGTACCCACTGATCTGATCATATATATTTCCTAATCTGACCGTGCATGGTTAATTACACATATTAATCACGAATTATTTTTGAAAAGGTCATGATCACACTCAGCATCGAAAGTTTTCTTCCATGGCGTATTCACATCTATCTAAAACGTTCGTCCTTTCCAAGATACTAGCACATGGCCAAAGTCTCGGTGTGAACATAGTAACAATCTTAATTAGTCTAGTCCTCAACATGCTAATTGCTAACACATCTGTAGCTAGCACATGAGGTTAAGACACAAACTTACAGTCACATATTTGAAGATCTGTACATACTTCAAGACATAAATTCAAGTCCAAAATAAGCATTCTTCTAATGGTTGGTCCCCATAAACTACCAAAACAATGTGTTGCAAATCGCTTTCAATTCGTCATTGCAAAAATTTTTGTACCCCAAAAATCAATGCAAATCGGCCAAACAAGAATAGTTGTTATCTTTTTTTTTTTAACGGCTAATAAGTTGTTATCTATTGGAGAAAAATAAATATGTATTATAGATATATCCACAATTATTATTATCAAGACATGTACGGTTCATATCCGAAAAAAAAAATATACACCTAGCTAACGTTCTAAATTTTTGGCTATGGAAATATTTTCGTCGACGGGTTTTGTAAAATATAATTTATATATTGCCCTTTTCGTACATTTTATCAGTCTTAAACCATATCTTACGTGATAGAATGCATAAGATGTGAAATTGTGAATATATATTTGTTAAAAATCTAAAATTCCGCACTCTGATAATAATTAAATAAAAAGATTTCACGTGGACTTGTTTGGGGAACCTTCACGTCATCATCCTATAATGAGAGTCACGAGTGTCACAAGATCTTTAAAAGTTCTATTCTTTTCGATTTTGGCCGAATACGACTACAAAAATCAACATAGAAACATGTAGCAATATTATAAATATTCTACCATTGTCGTTACACTTGGTTAAAAAGACAAAGAAGAAAATCCCAAAGCTAAGATAAGAAGTTAAACAGCACAAACCCAATAATATATTGACACGTCGGTAGTAGGTAAATGGATAGTTAACGTGTCAATACATTATTGGTGACGTGGCATAATTCGTAGTTAAAAAAGGTTACTTCGATCGGTGGTAGTGGTTACGGTGCGAGGCACGTGAGCCATGACGGTGGACGAGTGGAGACTCTTGGACGTCGCCACGGCGTTTGGCAGCGGAGAAAACTCCGTCCCAGATTTCGGAGAAAGCGCGGATGATGATTCCGTGGTGGTATGGCTCGTTGAGAGAGAGGAAACAGTGGAGTAGCTCTCTAAGATCGTTTTTGGAGTAAATCTCGTTCTCGAGAATCATCTGAAGCATGGACTGTCGGAAATCGAGGTAAGGGTCGTCGGAGTCTTTCTCGACGGCGACAGCGGCGGTGGAGGGTGTTGCGGAAGAGGAAGAGGTGTCGGAGAACCAGTGGGAGGTGGATGGAACGGCGGAGGAGGAGGAGGCCGTGGTGGGGGTAGAGGAGTGGCAGTGACCGTAATTAGAGGAGTAGAGGCGGGGCTTTTTTGGGGTAGGGTTGAAAAAAGAAGACAAGCTTGGGAACTTACAGTTGCCACAGCCGATGTCTACGACAGAGACTGCCTTAAGGACCATCTTCTTCTTCTTGCTTTTGCCTGTCGTCATTGCTTGCTCTCTCTCTTTGTCTCTGTCTTACTCCAAGATGAAATAGGTTTTACAGAGAGAGAGAGAGTGTGTGAGGGAGAGAGAGTCTACTTGGATTGGTATTAAAGGGTGCATGTGGTGACTGAGGTGGATTAATGAGAAGTAAACTCTTAGCAACAATATTTAATTTGATGTTCAAAATTTTGTGAACGTTTTTTAAAAATATAAGTAAATGTCACTATATTCATGAGCATTAATGTGACATATACTTACTCCACTGATCTTATGAAAGAATTACTATTACATTGGATTATTATTTGAGTAATGGTGTTCAATATATGTCTCCCATTATTAGTTTTCTTCAAAAAGTCAGATGGTTATTTTAGTATGTCTTTTTGCATTCAATCTTCAAAGAAATATTAGTTATATACTATATACTATCCTTAATTCATTTCATACACAATCATTTTAAACTATTTTCTTAATTCTAAGAGATTGTTGTTTTAGGATTTAAGCATGACGTTTACAAATATTTGAAGGGAAGTTGTAGAATTAGTCAATAAGAGTTTCTTTTAAATGGATTTGTGTTGGGCCTTCATGAGCTTTTTTTTTTTTTTTTTGGTAAGAGGCCTTCATGAGCTTTGTAATGCGCCTTTAGATAAACACCCAAATTGTCACTCAAGGGATATAAACCCAAAGGCCGCGTAGCTCCTCCATTAAGCCTAAAGAAATCCAGACCACAACCTCTTCTTTCAACAACTGCGACAACTCTTTGTTTCCAATATCAGTATTATTCCTCTAACACCTCACTTATGATCACTGCACTATTAAGTTCTTTACTAATCCAAATTCTAGAGAAAAGTTTGTTGCAAAAAGACACAAAGTTTTCTATGATTTTTTGATTAGTTATTTATGAAAAATTGTAGTAGAATTAAAAATATTATTGAATACTATTGGTTTAAAGTTGTGGAAATTGTTAATCACGAAAATAATACATTTATGATCAATTTTTAATATGTGTGAAAAACCTAGAATTTGGATTAATAAAGAACGATTATAGTAGTAATCAACTGATTTTGAGTTTAGTTTACAAATATATTTTTTTTGGTTAAAATCATTGAAGCAGTGACTATGTCTATCATGACCCATAAAGTTCTGCCATTTTGACTATGTTTGTTTGTAAGAAAATAAAAGAAGACTAGGTTTGCAATTCAAATTATCCATTAGGATGTTTAAATGAGATTTTAATGGATTACAAAGTCATAGAATTATATCAAAATATATTCTAGTAGTGTATAGAATTTCGTATTTAGTATTCTATTTAAGGACAACAGAGAATGTATATATACATAATTAATACATTAGTGTAAATTCAGTCAAACATAATTAATTTGATTCTTAAAGGACTTTTGTTTGTAAATTCATATGAAGGGTCGGCAAATGTTAAATAACGACTATAACCTTCAAAATACAATTATCGGAGATAACGGTCAAACGGTAAACCCGTTCCTCGTACCCCCACATTCAAGTAGCGTTTGTGGCAAGAAATTTAAAACCGTTTACTTTTTGTATTTTGTTTTTGTTTATTGACGTTTATATATTTTAAAAAAAAAACTAAACCCTGATTTATTCCAATTTTAGAACTTACTCGTCTTCATAATCTTCCTCTTTTTTTCCTCATCTTTGATATTCAAAGTTTTTGTTTTTGTTTTTCTTTGCTTAAACCGGAGAGACACCCTCTCCATAAATTTAGGTTTGTTTATAACAACTTATACATTTTTCTTCTCTTATAATAATAATAAAATCCGTAACCAATAAACATGGTTTGATCTCATTTGCAGTTTTGATCCGTCTGGGTTCCTTGAAGAAAATAAAAACCAATTCCATTCATATTCTTCTTCATACGTTGATAAGAATCCTTACGAGGACGAGATCTTCCTAACGTCTTTGATCTTCTTCAATAGGTTCGTTTGCATTTGTTACACCCTTAAAAAATGGATCTATATATTCGTGTTATATATATGATTGTTGAATCGGGTTTGTTATGTTTGTAACAGGAGATAATTCTGATTTGGTCGAAGATGTTGGGAGATTTCATCATCAGACTCCTTGTGTATGTCCTACCATATCTTTTTCTCTTTTATTAATTTAATTTGCTATAAAAACATTCTCATTTGATTTATCATTATATATAATTAAAATGGTGGGAATGGCAGATTAATATTAGGGTACACATACCCAGCATTCGAATGCTTTAAAACGGTGGAGAAGAACAAAGTTGATATCGAGGAACTCAGATTTTGGTGCCAATACTGGTATTTATAATTTGTCATCCTTTTTATTCTATCTTCATAACATTCATGCATGTGTACATATATAGATTTGTTGTGATAGGCAAATCGATTTTAGTTTGATCATAGTATATATTTTTCTCTTTTTGGGTTTAACATAAAAAGATAGAAGACAACTAAATTCCTAATTTTTATAGACCTAATCTTTTTTTTTTTTTTGAAAATACCTAATTTTGCTCTACAATAATGTATGTGATGCACGTAATTCTAATCTGACAGTTTATTGTCAACATGTACTCGGAAATATTAATTTATTAAAAATTTGTATTTGAATAATTAGGATACTTTTGGCGCTAATTTCATCATTTGAGAGGGTTGGCGATTTTTTTATCTCATGGTAAGTAATTTTTATTATTAGTTAATTTATGCACTAATCCATCTCTGTCTTAAACATTTAATAATCATCAAGTAGTTAATTGATAGATGCAATTATTATTTGCAGGTTACCGTTATACGGAGAGATGAAAGTAGTCTTTTTCGTATATCTCTGGTACCCTAAAACAAAGGTAACAGACATTTTCCTTTTTTAAAAGTTTTAATTTGGATGATTAATTAATCAATGGTTATGTATCTAATAATAATAACTAAAAAAAATGAATGAAGGGAACGAGACATGTATATGAGACATTGTTGAAGCCATACATGGCTCAACATGAGACAGAGATTGACAGAAAGATTATGGAGTTGCGAGCTCGAGCTTGGGACTTTTTCATCTTCTACTTCCACAACTTTGCCCAGGTCCCTTTTTCATATTTTTATTATTTATACTAAATTATCATACAACTTTTTTGTTTTGTTTTTGTTGTTATAGGTTTGACTAATTCTTACTATAACATTAACAATATGAATATAATGTTGATACACAGGCTGGTCAATCGACCTTGATCCAGGGTTTTCAGTACGTACTCGCCCAATCGGTCCGGTTCTCTGCCGCTGCAGCTAACCAACCGGTACTTTTCTATCGCTTTTGTTTTTCCACAAAACCGGTCCATAAAGAGTGTTTCTACAACTTTAACCATTTTAAACAAAGCGTTGTTTGTTAATTATAGCGTAAGTTTCAACGCAAAAAAAAAACATCCGTTAGCGTTTGGCTTTTGCAAGAATGTTTTATGAAAGTACTGAAAATGTTACATTTCAAAAGCAAGTTTTTTTTTTTTTTTGGATTTTTGTTTTTTATTCACAAACGCAGAAATTGCGATGGCAACAAGCTTGTGTTTATTAACTTGATCACTTTTGAATTTTTGTGTTTGTGCCAAAGCCGATGGAGCGGAACGTGAACATGAACGCCCAGTCACCGGTGGAGATGGACAATGATCCGCCGTCACCGCGTGCTCCAAGACCGCTGAACAAATCACTATCTGCGTTGCGATCGCTAGAGAAGCAAACAAGCAGAGGGAGGAAGTGGCCACCACCAACACCACCACCAACACCAGGCCGAGACTCAGCCGGGACATTCAACGGTGAAGATGGAGTCAACATTCCCGATACAATTCCGGGATCACCCCTGACCGATGCTCGAGCTAAGCTCCGACGTTCTAACTCCAGAACTCAGCCCGCGGCATAGTAACGTAAACGTACATATACGTGACTCGACAAAGAAACCCTTTTCGACTTGTTTAAAGATATATAGGGAAAGAAAAGTGAATGAAAGTTTTGAATTGAAGCAAAACAGATTGATTTATTTTTTCGTGTTTTTTTGTAAATTGAAGCAGTAAGTATTAATACAGCGAGAATATTTGTGTTTGTTTTGGTTTGAACTTCCGGCTACGGTGTTCAATCAATCTGGATATTGATTTGAGTTTGGGATTTTTCAGTTCTTCTTTCGATTAACCGAGATCATATAGCTGATTATGAAGATGCATTTGAATGGTCAAAAATATTATAATCAAATAGTGTACCAATGCAGCCGATGAAGTACATTCTCTGTTAAACTTACATTAGTTTCTTGTAACCGGTGCTCCTCTACAACATCACTCTAGGCGATAAATCATAATCTAATGGTACATTGTATGGAACGCACCTGCCATTGGTTCATACACGTTCTGTAGTTGCTCCCTCCTTGTATTTGATTTTGGGAGTGTTGTGGGGTAACACATTTGGGATCAGAAGTTGAGATGTGTGATTGGTATTGGATCATCTCGGGGTTGAGTCAACAGCGGTTGGTGCTATTTCGCCCATTCCTGGTGGTGGAGTACTCACGTCGGCTATTCCATAATCCCAATCGATACCAGCTTTTGCTAGAGTTAAGGATTGCGTATTTATCATATGCAGATAGATACATTTAACTTTAAGAGAGCAGATAGATACATTTAACTTTAAGAGAGAAACAATTTGCATATATGCAAAGGATACAGTCGGTTTTCCAAATATCTGTCATGCTAATTTCAGCACTTGAGAGTAGCCAGTAGTCCGATTCATCATTCTGCAAAATATAAGACCGATATCAAACAACATTTCTAGGAACAGATTTTGAAAGTCATGTTAATAAATTCCTGTGCACAACTTCATAATTCTCTGTTCATTCTATAGTTTTCTAGAGTCTCTTAAAATAAACAGGAAGATGGCTTACTTCGGCGTCAGAGGGAGTAATCTTAAGCATTCCTCCTACCTGCTCCTGCAAATAATTAAGATCAGAGGTATCCCCGGGTTGAGGATGAGGATGATCATGAGACACCTGATGCTCAATAGCAGTTCCTGTGTTATCAACAGTTAAGGCTTCGATGTCATGGTGTCCTGTAGATCCTGAGCTAGAAGCAATAGGCAAGCATGCTGGTGGTGCTGCAACACTCCCATTTGTGTCTTCAAATTTCCCTTCAAATTCGCTGAACATGAAGTCAAAGTAAAAGCATGTAAATGGGACAGTGAATATTCAAATCGAAGAATCTTTGTTTTGCTATGTTCAAGGCATAAATACCTGACGAGGTATACGTCAATAGGTCCCATTGTACTTCTAAGAATGATCCTGTATCTCCTTTGGGGGTGGTCAACCGCCTGTCAAGTAGAGAGGAAACATTATCATAACGTTTTGGAATCTAACAAAGAATAGCAGATGTCTTCGAAAGTCGCTGAAAGAGACTAACTTCATCTGGATCAGGCACTTCCAAAGTTGTGCCATGAGGAGCTTTGACGGCTATCAGAGTCTGGTTCTGCAGAAACACCAAAGAAAGAGTTAAGATATAAGTGAACAAGAAAGTCTTGGGGTCGATATACATACAATCAATTGATAAAATTCCCAAGGATTAAACATATGAAATAGGAAATACAGACCTGGAAACCTGGTAAACTCTTGATATCCTCTTCAGTTACAAAAAGCCATCTGAACAATGTGAACGGATTGGTTAAGTGTCCATCATAAGAATAGCAACATCTCATAGCCAGAAACAAACTAGCCAGGCGAAAAGATAGATAGACAGAGATTTTTACTTCTGATTCGTTTCATTTTCGCTCAGGTCCCTTAATCTTTCCTCTGTTTGTCTGAATAAAAGTTGTTAAGTGTCAGCATTGGTTGAGTAGATTAATCGTAATAACACAAAACTCTCTAAATGAATGCTTACCTAATTTGATTATCTAACGCTTGCTCTTCGAGGGCAAGGTTTTCAATTTCTGCCTGCAACGACAAAACAAGATCATTAATCAAACGAAGCGAGACCTAATATTTTAAGATTTACAAGCACAATGACTTTTGAGTGTATGCTGTTTCACTACACCTGTAATACAGATACGTCAGCATCCTCATCGCCAGGACCCGCATCAACTCCCCTAATCAAGATTGTTGATCATCAAGTGAGTTTACATGTGGTTAAGTGATTTGAGGAATATCCCAACGAAGCAGATACGCAGAAAGATATGGTATGAACTACATAAGCATACTATATAATAAAATCCTCACTTCCAAAGTATTCGATTCTTGAAAGGCTTTTCGATGAGATCTATCCCCTCCAAAACGTTTGTAATATCATATATACGTCGTTTCTGCACCTCCAATGTTTCTGCAGCTTTGTTTAGGTCCAGCATTCCATCTTTGGCTTGTTTAATTAGATTGACGAACTTTTTTGTAAGGAGACCTGAACAGCTTTATGTCAGCATCTTCGTATACACTATAACATGTATCGAATATTAAATATATATGAACAGTTGATAATTACCTAAAGAACTGTCATAACGGCAACTTCCCGATGGAGTAAGTGTCACAGGAGAACCTGCAAGTTGACCAGGAAAAGAGTCAGCTCTTCGACCTACTTATAACTCTAGACATGAAAGATATTTCATATAAGGATCTAATTATACAGAAAGGCCAAAAGGGGTAGACAGTCAAGAACACCAAGGATAGGAACATCCTGCAGGTTAATCGGTAATCTACAATTCTTCTTACCAGCGTTCGTCGAGATTGGTGTTTGGGGAGTTGACTTATTTCCTTTGGCCTTTGACTTGATGTTGACTCTGCCCCCTTTTGCAGGAGTTTGACAGGGACTGCTAGGTATGCTAGTGAAACCAGAACTCGTGAATCCATTATTAGATGGAGCAACAACCATATCCATTGTCGACTTTCTCTTCCGTGACTGCAAATAAACAAGTTGTTATTACCTTGAAAGAAGTTGGTCAAAGAGATATCATCCAAAAGGTTTTAAAGCATCTACACACAATGATCAATAATATTATTCATCAGAAACTTTCACAACATTGGGATCTACTTGAAACATTATACATAACAAACAATGTTAAGCTTCCTACACCAATACTTTAATATCAATTAGCTAATGCTCAACACTATGTGAAGAGTCAACACCCCAGGGAAGAAAATTGCACAATCAGAGCCAATTTGGCATAATAATTGGAGAAATTGATGCCTGACTTCACGATTTGCGTCAATTGGGTGTTATTGAAACACAGTGTCAGACAAATTATGAGCAAAATGTACCATCGCGAAGCTAAATTAACGATAAAAATTGACATGAATCCAAGACAATCTGACGCTGTGAAGCATTTAAATGAGACTTAGAAGCAACAAGTAGCGAAAATGTAGCAATCGAAATCCCAAAACATCCTCGAAATTCTAAAACCAATCTCACTGGCAAAATCTCAAAATCGAAGAATCAAAAGCACCCAAAACTCACAGGAGATCTAACAACGACAGCATCCTCCTCCCGATCTACAACACCACAAGCATTAACGAAGCTCCTATCGTTATTATTAGTGAGCGAAGAAGGGTTAAATCGATGGTAATCATCGGAAGGATGAAACGGCGGTTTTGTTGAGGCGAAAGCTAAGTGACGACGTATAGGTGGTACAACCGGCGTAGATGTAACCGGAACCGGAGATGACGGCGGATGGTGCGGCGGCGGCGGTGGCGGATGAGAAGAACCGGGAGAAGATCGTACGAGACCGGACATGGATCGTAGTGAAGGGAGAGTCGAATTTGAAGATTCCGATGAAGAGAAAAGCGACGGCGATAGAAGGAAACGAGGGTTTTAGTGAGAGAAAGAGGAAGAAGAAGAAGAAAAAAGGAGAGAGCAGAAAACGAGGGAAGGAGGGAATTTTATGTTGGGATAGATGTGGAGGGAAGCCTACAGCAATAATAAAATAAAATTGTTAAGGAAATAAATATATACTTTTTTGTCTTTCTATTTGTGCCCCGGAATTTTGTATTTAGTTTTAGATTGACCCTACTTACTTTACGTAAATTACTTTTTGTGCCTTTTAGTAACGGGAATATTGAGATTCTTTTGTGTTCTTTATAATGGTGAAGCATTGATACAGATTTTGATCTAGAACTTGTATTTTGAATCTGAAATTTTTATTTAAAGGTGTGTAGTCGGTAAACAGATTTCTGCAAATAGATTGGGATAGAATTTGTTTACAGTACATGTGCTGCTGTTTCCGTTATGATATGCGTAATAATATTATTTTTATTTTTATCCTTTTGTATTGATTAGTGGTTGTTGTATGGCAGTGGAAAACTAATGCGAAGTGTAGATTAAGTCTAAAGTCACTTGAGGAAGGATTCATAATTAAATTCACTATTTGGAGGACTATGATATTGCACATGATTTGATGACATAAATTGGTAAGAGATTTTTAATGACAAATGAGAACGGTAATAAGTGGTACAAAATAGTTCGAAAAGTTAAATAGAAAATGGTAGAGACCTAAAGTGGCAAAGTTTTCGTACCGCTTTTTTCTTGTCCTGCGTTAGCTTATTACTGGTCACAATAAAAATTAAAAACGGTTCACTTAGAGAGTGTGAGGCAATGTTGTACCTTTCGTTTATGTTCTTACGAGTGATATACCCCATTTGTCCCGAGAGAATGTATAGTGGTTATGAAGTTGAAGCCCAATAAAAACGGATTTAAGGCCCAAAAAATAAAAGGGAAACGGAAACAAAACATTTAGAAACAGAGAATCTGATCATAGACCAGTGGCAAGATTCACGAACCATCAAAGGACTAAAGCTGTAGAGTCTAGATAATCTAGACTAGATCGAATTGTCCCTCACACATTCATCATCCTGCCTCCAATTGTATATTGTAGAATTCACAATTCTCTGCAAATCGCAACTCTACACGGTTTCTGGACTTACATACACTTGATTGCTCGGTCACAACACTAAGAAGACCGAAAAAACATCGGAATCGTTGTAAATGAACATTCTCTCTCTTATCAAGATATAATCTCACCAAGTCACCATCTCTTTGTGTGTCTCAAAATGTAGGCAGAGACCGGTTTCTTCATTCTCTGAGTTCTTCATCATCATTCATTACAAAAATGTACCTAAAAACAAAGCAAACCGCATCAATTCTCACCAATTCTCCAACCCCATAAACAAAACAACAACAAAAAAAGCAAGAAACTCTCACTCACTTGCTTCCAATGTTCCAAGTTCCTAGCACACAAAACTCTATAAATCAAGAATCTTTTGTACAGTAACAAGGCGAGATGTCTTCAATGGCGGAGAAGAATCACAACATACCTCCAATGTATCTCTAAAACCAGCTTCATTCGTCTTCAACATCACCGGCAATGGAAACCTCACACCTTTCGCCGCACAAGCTTCATGTCTCGGTTTAATCCGATTCTCCAAACTAAACGAGAAATACTGAGGAAACTCAAGAACCTCTCTAACATCTCTCCCCATCTCCACCATCAAATAATTCAACTTCGGTTCGTAATTCTCAGCAATACTATAATTAAACAGCTGCGGGAATCTCTTAAACATCGCGGTGGCGCTCCGCCGCGAGAATCCTAACTTCTCAAAGAAATCAATCCGTGGTACGAGTTTATGTTCAACGCTACAAGAGAGAAGATACGTATGTTTATGTGGATCTAAGATTCCGATTCTCTGAAGAAAGTAAAGCGTTGGTCGAAGCTGGTGATCGACGCTACAAACGAGAAGACGAGGACGACGACGCAAAGCTTGACGGAGGTCAAAGATAGAGTCAACGCCGACTTCACGGAGGAGGAAAGTGATGACTGGGATTGTGTGTGAGGTTAACGGTGAAGTGAGAAGCTCTGGACACATGGAGACGAGGCGGCGAAAATCTTGTAAGGTGAAGTTGATTGGTGGAGTGGTCATGTAATCGACGACGGATTCAACGGCGGAGAGAGCGGTGGAGAGGAGAGGAGGATGACGGTTGATTAGGGTTAAGAAATCGATTCCGAGTGAATCGAGGTAAATGAGTTTTTCGTGGATTGAGGATTCTAGGGTTTCGGTGGTTGTTGTGGTGGAGGAGATAGAGGGGAAATCTGGGGATTTGAAGAGTGATGAAGATGAAGTGTTTGGTTTGAAGGAAAGTGCGGGAAAATTGTGGAAGCGGAGGCGAGAAAGTGTGGGAAAATTGTGGTGAAGGGAAGGGAAAGAGGAAGAGAGGAAAGAGAGAGCTTCTTGTTGCATTGTTCAAGAGACATCTCACATTACATGGATGAATTCGATTCGATGAAGCTCTCTGTGTGAAGAAGGTAAGTGATGATGAAAGGATAAGACTTGGAACAGAGTGTGATTTTGGACAAGGAGAAGGAGATTACCATATCTTGATTGATCCGGTTTAAATTGGGATTTAACCGGTTTTGGTCCAATTGATATTTGACAAAAATGTAAATTGTTTTTTTTTTCCTTGCCAGGCCCACTGGGCCGTATATGTTATACTGTACCTTCAAAAATAGGTTAGGCGGTAGCTACAATTACGAAATGCTATCATTCATAAATAGACCTTAATTTTGTTACATAATATGATGATCCCGTAGGTGAGTGTTTAATTTCTTTCTTAATGGGCATTTTACCTTCTGTGATTAAGTAACCATGGAGAAAAAATGCAAGCTACAATGCAAGATTTGCTTTAAGTATTTGAACTTTTTGTAGTGGCTTTTGCAATTAAATAACACTAAAAGTATTAATATGACATATAAAAGATAAATAAATTTATACACAAATCAAGATTTTGAATAATGGCCAATATAAGAAACGAGTTTTTTAAAATAAAATAAAAGTAGACTAAGATACGAATGAACTATAACTAAAATGAGTCGCGTTCCAAAGTGAAAGCATCTGTGGTATCGTCCCACACCATTTTTGATACAAAATCGTCGTGTTTTGGAACATACTCCTGCGATTACAAACATGAATTCAATTTTTACTTATCCTCTGTTGGGATTCATACATTTAGTCTATAGTATTAAATAGAATAATCAAAAATCAATGAAAGACAAGAAAAAAAAACCTCAAGAAGTTGAAGTAATTGAGGAGCGTTTGGAGCAGAGACGATGATACGGCGAGCGGTGGAGGAGACAAAGCCTTCGTCCACTGCCTTATCTATAAACGTCAATAGTGAATCGTAGAATCCATCCACGTTCAATAGTCCCACCTGCATTGTTTCACTTCACATTATGTATATACTTAATTAACATTCTCTGTTTTCCCATTTTTTTTACCATGCATATAAATGTCTTCGTGTGTATCTTACATGTTTTAATCAATTTTTATATGCATGGATTAGTATTTAGTATACTGTACGTACGATATGATTTTAGAGTACTAACATTCTAATGAAGTTTTCTCCATCCATAAAAATACATAACACCATCTCTACTTGTAGGGATAACCGTATTAACTGACACGAATCTCCAGATATGTATTCATATCTAAACGAGTTTAATTGAATTACCGGTTTAGTGTGGATCCCAAGTTGAGACCAGGTGATGACTTCCAACAATTCTTCAAATGTCCCATATCCACCTATTTTGTTTGTCAAATAAAACCACAAAAAATATTTTATGAACCTTCATGATCTTAGATATATAGATAGACATCTTTAATCATTCATTCTTTACAAAATACATAAATTGAAAAAGAAGAAAGAAAAAAAACGACAAACCAGGAAGTGCGATGAAGGCATCCGCTTGGCGAACCATTTCAGCCTTCCTTTGGTGCATAGTCGATACTGTTATAACTTCTCCTATTGATTCACCGGTTATCTAAATCCAACATCATTTTATCACATCCATCATAATTATGTTTTTAAGTCACATATATATTTACTAAGAATATAGTTAATTTGTAAATACCATCATAAACATGTTTTGATTTGGACAACACAGAATGAACTTTTAAACTGTTTACACTGCTATTTAAATGTATAGTGGATTTGTAAATACCTCTCTTGGTGCTAGAGACTTCGGAATGATCCTGCGCATAAAATCAACATCTAACGTGAATAATTATCACTTAGAAATAGTATATAAAATCACTTATTTCGAGTCACCTTAATTTGTAATGGTCAAAAATTCTTATCCTTTCTTTATTTTCTTTCGGTTCAAGAGGTTCAAAGAAAGAAACCTAAGTTCAATTAATATTAGCTAGTATATGTTTAATCATTAGATTTTGCCAAAGAAAATAAAAATAGAAAAGCGAGTCCAGAGCATTGTTTTCAAATATATATTTTCCAAGAAATATTTGATAAACGCAAGGAATTAAATTGCAAGTATATATTTTGAAGTAGTCGAATTGCTATTTATGATAATGTTACCCATTTGAAAGACAGGACAAGAACATGGGAAGAACAAAAAAGAAAGATGCAGTGTGCTTTGAAAGAACAGATAAACTAACACCTCTAAATTGTTTATTGTTTAATAATTATTTATAATAAAAACGTATAGGGAGAGATAGATACCCAAGAACATGACGACCACCATCATGAACAGCTTGAGAAATGAGACCCATTAGCCCCACGCTTCCTCCTCCATACACCAAATCGATGTTTCTTTCCACCTTTCACATTTATGTGTGTTATTACTTATTAGTGACTAATCAAGTACAGCTTATTCTATGAACTTTAACTATATGTCTATATACATTTTACAATTAGATGAGTTTCCTAATTTATCCATATATATATTCTTTAACTCTAGATTAAGCATGGTGGACTTCTGTTATATGCAGTAAGTAAATTACTAAATTTCATCCTTAATATATACGATAGAATACAACTACACAAACACAATGATATGATACTTAATTTTCCATACACATCGAGTACTTAATTATACATATGCTCGATTATCTACTATGGATATACGTTTTACGTATATATAGTACGTACTTCTATGCTTGTATATATCTGAAGCTTTTTTTTAGCTAATGGTTAAATGCATTGCAAAAAAAACAGAAAAGACTTGGCATATAACGAAACACTAGTTAAAACCCGAAATCTTTTAACGTAATAGTGCTCTTTTTAATTAGTTAGTTAATTAAATAAGGATTAAATGTGGAAATAGAGAGAAACCAGTTGGTGAGCGAGTTGGAGAGCAGCGTCGTGATAAGTGGTTTTGTTGCCGGAACTGCTTCCACAGAAGACACAGATCCTCCTGAATCTTGATTTTGTCTCTTCCATTATCTCTCTCTTTCTGTCTTTTTCCTTCTTTTCTTTCTTTTTTGGTTCTGTCACTTTCTCAACTTTTTATTTATATATAGATAGATATGTGAAGAAGAAGTATACATTATTAGCAAAAAAATAAAATAAAAAAGAAGTATACAGATTTTTATTAAAAAGAAAGTATACAGATTTGTTTGGCGAACAATCCAGGTAAGGCTGGCTATTGCTATATATTTTTTTGCGTTACTTTACCATATAATTGGATCCCGTAGATTGTGACAGCTTTTTTCCTTAACAATCTATGTTAGAATATGTACTAAATTTTAAACAAAAATAAGACTTTTTAATTAAGAATATAGGAAATTACTTTAACCAACGAACACAATAAATATTTCTTAGTTAAAAGTAGAGAAATACTCTAGAATAGCACTAAAACAAAATTTTATGGAAAAAAATATATGTGGTTTTGTTTTTTTTAATTATATAACTTTTACAATGCGAGGACACACGATGACAACTTTAAATCAACGGACAGAAAATAAGTATAATCAACTTGCATCAGGTCGCTAGATTTGGCAGAATTGTAGAAAAAAGCAGAACCAAATAGGAAGGTTTATTCGGATTGAGAGGGACTAGTTTGGTCGATGCTTGCGAGTTTGTTTTAAGAAGTTAGCTGGATGTTGCGAATGCGAACTATAACCGAAGCTAGTTTAGATTTTATATTCGTACTTTTCCATAAAATTTAATTTTTGAGGAATAAAATGAAATTCATGTGTCGGATTTTTTTTTTTGTGGTAGAAAACCCTCTATACAATCCCACGGCATATTGTAAATTATGTTTCAACGAGACATCTTTTTACATATGTCAGGTTTAATACAAGCAAGTTCAATATATAGCCAAAGATCATATAGTCATCTCTATATAACCTTATACTAGTAAAATTGTGACATTGAGATCGGAATTTGACTATATGACCAAAGGATAATCGGACAAGTGTCCACCTCACAGATTCGATTCCGTTAATTCCTTCTTATGATTCTTTAATTAAATGTATGAATAACTAAACCATATCTTTGATTGAAGAATTGGTCACTATGCGTATCAGATATGTTACTTGTTATTAGTCACCAAATCTCTAGAATCTTTTGCTTTCATATCTGTAGCTAAAATATTCAACGGCAATAGTCATGACAATTAAGTAAGCTTACAACTGGATCGTTACAAAAAGAAAAGAAAAGAAAAAGCTCGCAATTGGATCGCTAGTAAAATTGAATAAGTCTAATAATTTCAAGAAACTGGTGGAACTAAAGTCGAAAATTCTGAAACCATGCTGATCTTTGAATATAATCGTATTTGTTCAACCATGCTCGAGGACAATGATATAAGAAGACAGAACTTATACCTATCCTGTTCTTAAAAAGAATCGAATCAGATACTAAATTGGATTAAGATGGAGATATTCAAAGTTTAACTCATGACTCTGATATGATCACCAGTGATATAATTTTAAGATTACCAAACCCATAATCTCATGATATACATTTAATCAAACTCGATTATGGCAAATCATTAATATAAGTCTTCACATGTGGTAAATCATTACGTTGGCCAACGTCACTTATGTGACTGACACTATCTCTACTTCTTCCCTTTTCCTGTGTTCTGGATGCGGATTAGCCGCAATGTGCAGATTACTATCTAATTTCAGTGATTTTGATTAAATGCACATCACAAAGAAGCTAATTATATGCAGTTAGTCTGTCAAAATACCTCATTCCGGCGTACGGAATCTTTTTCTTCCCGTCGGAGTTGGCTTTGAGCGTCAAGTAGTAGTAAGTAGGAGTCTCTTTATCGACCAAGGGAATCGATATCACGTAGGAGTCTTTGCTTAGAAAAGAATCGAGTTGGGTGCCTAGGTTTATGACGCTTGTGCCATTCGTGGTAGATGACTTGTGCGACATTGCCAATGGTGGCATGAGCTCACGTTGATGAGTGAAATCGCTTTTCTCCTTACCATAATTTACAAAAAAAGATCACACGCAACACACGGGCCTTAACATTATATTCAAAAAAGTGAAAGATCACAAACCAGAAAAAATTGTGAGAGAACAAAAGATGCGAGCATACGCGACTAAGGCCCAACTCGAAGCCCATAAAGTCATCAATCAATACATATAGAAAAGAGAAGATGAAAATGATTAATTTTGATATTGTATGAAATAAACAACACACAGAGTACTTAAAGTCTTAAGCCTTAAAAAAAACAAACGATTACTTAAAATAATTAAGGTATTGAAGATTGTTATCCAAACTCATGGATATCTTATCGAATACTGATGATTTTGGTTTTGGTTTCATCTGCTCAAATAAGTTTTTCAAAGTTGAAGTTGATCAAATTGTATCTTCGTTCGAGTATATCAGAAAGAAATATTGAGAAACTTTACTATCTTATCCATCGAAAGAGAATTGGTTGAAAACGTTGATTTTAAAATTTTGGTTAACGATTTGTGGAAAAAAATGAGAAAATATATTTTAAAACTAATTTTTTGTTTGCTAATTTAGTCTTTTTATTTGTTTTCGTTTTTTGCTAATTTTTTTTGTTAACTGGAACAATCTTTTTTGTAGTTGCTTTTGATATTTTTTAGTGTTGGCACGTGGGGCAAACCATGCTGCCATTGTGACACCAAATGGAATAGATTAGTCGACTACGCACTCATATATATGACATATTAATCCATTTTTGTCAAACACTATTCGTAAATTGTACTATTTGTACTATATGTTACTATCCGCCAAATATTTTTCGGGTCAGCATGTGGGCTAGTATATATCAATTACATAAAAGACTGTTTTATTTATATATGTGGACAAATAAATGTATACAATAGGCTACATAGAAAATAAGTCGTATAGTGCCGCAATTAGAAAATAAAATAAAAATGAACGAACCAATATATGATGGAATGGGAGAGGATAAAATTCTAAGACTCAAAAATCGAAGTCACACTTGATAGGGAAAACGGTAGAAGTGGTTGTAGTTCCGTTGGAGGTACTTAAAGGAAGCCTTAGATCATCGCAATTAACCTTAGGCTTAATTCTCCTAAACTTCAAGTCCCCAAGCTTAAACCTAACCCTAAGCCTGAACTTGATCTCTATATTGTACACACCGGAGATCCTCTCCGCGTTCAAAGTCCGAGACTGTCCGGCGTTAAAGATAACAAGGTTTTGGCCTTGGAACGTTGGTGTGAGAACGGTTGTGTTTTTGTGTCCTTGATAGAAAGGAGTTAACGAGATGGAACTAAACCTCTTTCCCTCGTAGTAAGCATGAGCTTCGATTCTGTCGTAGTAGACTCCGATCCTCTTGTTAGGGTTACGTACAGGGACAGTGAGGGCTAGGTTATACCTTAAAATGTTGTCGGGGGAAGTGTGGTCAAAGCGGGTAAGGGACGCATCGGTCACGTGGAACTTGATGGCACGAGGACGGACGATGAGCCAGAAGATGAGAGCGGCTACCCCGAGGATGACAATAAGGGATATGATGACTTTGACGAATAAGCTGAGGAGGCAGCAGCCACAGCCGCGACCGTGCCCACGTCGGTAGTAGCCTTTGGGAGCTGGTGGTGGGACTGATGGACCGTAGAAGGCGCCATTGAGAGGTTGTTCAGCAGCCATGATAGTGATTTTGTGGAGAATTGGAATGAATGGATATATGGCTAAGAGGTTGATGTAAGTCCGCTTTATATACACTTTCATCTATGCGTTGGTCAACTTATTAGATCAAAGTAATGTCACGTTACGCGGTGATTAGATTGAATATTTGACCAAAGAATATTATGCAATTGTAGGCTTGTGATGTTGCCCCAAAACTTCCAATAACGAGTATTTTATGGAAGATAATATATTTAAGTTTTACTTTTTGGTCTCTCGTCGTAGTTCGTACTTCGTACGTTGGTCATTATACCGTTCTAGAACATAGGGACGCCTGTGTCAACATAATTATGTCTGATTTTCTTTTCTTTTTTCTCATTTTTCTTTGTTTTTTTTTAAAGCTTTAGTAGAGATAAATTTGATGAATTTTATACAATAAAATAAAAAACTTTGTTGGGTTTTTAATTGGTCATCAATTGATAATTTGCTAAGATTTCTAAAATTTGTGAACTCCAACCTTTAAGAATCCGTTTAGGGCCGCAGATTTAAGCCCATGTTAAACTCCCTAGTTCTTTCTATTCACATGTGATCCTTACTTGACCATTTGACAATGTGCCGACATCCCAAGATAATTTAATGACAACCGATAAATAAAAACAGAACATCTATAAAGCTAATTTAATTGTCCCCTCCAAATAATTCATATATTTATTTTCGAATCTGATATTACTTGAAAAGTTGAAACCTTCTTATCTCCTCCAATCATTTTCCTCCTCACATTCTACTTTTGAAATTAATTTCGCATATTTCAGATCTACGATCAACTAAGCAAAATATATATTCCAGAAATTTATGTGACATATAGTTATAGCAGATTCAAAACAAAAAAAAATTTACGAGAAAATCAAAAGAAAAGAAAAGATTGACAAATTACACGATATAGAAGCAAAAACATTATCCGAGTAGAAGAAAGAGTAAAAGCAAACTTTAACGGCGTCAAAGTTGTGTCCTTTTTTTACCTCCTAAACATTGACACTGCACTTATTGACCAACATGTACTTAACGGCGTTTTCGCCGACATGAACTCCGGCGGCTTTATCAGCCAGATTTATGTACGCGAGACAACGAACATGGAGATGATACTTCCCTGTAATAAGAGTCCCGACCTTCCACCTCACGCGTCCATCGGCGCGTATAATCAACGTGACAAACCCGCGATTTTGCTCGTCGCCAAGAGCCACCGCGTTGAAAGGAGCGATAGGGACGGAGTTTCCGTATACGAAAGGAGACCAAACGTTGTCTTCTTTATGGCCCTGGTACGTCGGAGGAATGGCTGTACGTAAAGTGATTTGTTGGTTCCGGTAAGTAGCGTAGACGTGAAGACGGTCGTAGTAGATTCCGATTCTGGAGTTTCGGTTGCGTGAAGCGATTGTGATCTGAAAGTTTGAGGTGAGGAGGTTAGGCTGCGAGAGGTTAAAGGCGTAGACGGTGGCGTCTTGGAGGATGAATCTTGGTTTTGTCGGTTGGAGGATTACCCAAACGAGGAAGATTGTTATCAAGACGATGATGATGAAGCCAATGATTGCTCCGCAGATTCGACTGGCGGTTCCTCCTCCCCCGCCGCCGCCGTGGTTTCCGCAATCTTTAGACATTGGAATTATTTATTTACGGGTTTGCCACTATGCTTCGTTGTGTAATGGATGGAGAAGATGTATGTGTGATGGAGAGAGTGAGTGAGACTATGATTTGTATTTATATTGATAATTAGAAGTGGTATAGTTTTGTGCCTTTGTGCACGTTGATCTTTCTAATCCACAATTAGCTTAGGCTTTAGGTAATGAATAATATAGATTGATTTACTAATAAACTTCTTTATGTTATAGTTTTTTCTCCGAAGAAAAAATGTGATTATCTAATTTGATAGTTTGCAACTTTGCATTCAAAAAGTTACATGGAGAAAGTAAATGTGTACGGATGAATGAGTTTTAAACTTTTAACTCAATTATGTAACAAATGTATCATACACTATGTATGGATAAAAGTTTGTAGGGAACAAAGGAGTGGACATAAATCAACATTCTTAAAGTTTATGCGATTTAACTTTTAGTGTGGCTTCATCTACCCCAGTAACCCCACCATTTTTGTTTAAGAGGGTGCAAGATTCCCCCATAATTATATCAGCTAGTCATTAATTAATTGCAAGAAATTAATGTTTATGTGTGCATATTGAACGATGATTAGTAAAAGAACGAAATTACCCTTCCCAAACCAAGGTTCTCCGATCTTCTCTCCGGTGCAAAATGGTAAAATTTAGCTTCTCTTTCCCCCGGAAACCTGTTAAAAGTGTTGCGAGTATTTTCAATTGTCATTCTCTCCTCCATTGAATATTGTTTTTCTCGACAAATGTCTTTGACTGCCAATATATGAAGAGAAAGAAATAAAAGAATTTTCTTTATTGATAAAGAGGAAACGAATATAAGATTAGAGACGTTCGTTTATTTTCATTCAACTAAATGACTTTTCTTTGTATCTTACTTTGGAGTTAGGAAAATAGTTTCATTCGATAAGTATTGATGGGTCCAAAATCAGCATTTGACATCAACACTCGACGAAATATGTTTACATAGGTTGCATTAGTATAGTTGATAATATCAATATTCAAATACTATCTCATATTTGGCTCTTTGGTTCTTAAAACAATTTGTGTGAACTAGCCATAGAAAATTAGAAACATATATGGCCCAATAGGAACTTAGATAGGACTTTTGGATTTAGCCCACCACCATAAGATGATGCTAGTATGGGAATTTTGGATTTAGCCCACCACCATAGGATCAGTGTAAACTCAACATTGTCAAAGTTGTCTCCTTTTCGCCGTTAAGTACAATTCTGAAATTGAGATAAGAGACAAACTGTTTGACCCAAAAACTAGTTCATACTAAAAAAGGTATCTAGACCTTGAAATAACACTTCTTAATCCACTTGTTCATCTTCAAACTTTGTCCCTAATTATTATTTACCTCCTAGTTAATACTTAATACCCAAAAGATCTAATAATTAAGTAACTACTTGAACTTGTTCCATCAGAAAGTCCAATCCTTTGAGAAATCCATGTCTGAAGGCAAATGATAATGACACTCTTCCTTCTGTTGCTGCTCCTGCGTTGTAGTAGTCATTACTCCTCTTTTTCCTTTGGTCAATAACTCCTTCTCACTTTGATTCCGATTCCTTTGATCTGTTTTCGACAAGTAAACAAAAAAGGTAAGATTTTGTTTAGTTTCGTGTACTAACCAAAAACATGCAAAGAACTAGTCTCAGTTTTCATTCTACTAGAAAACAAACCAAACCAAACATCATTTATAACATAAAAAAAGAAGGTTTTAGTAAAAGACAAGTGAAGTCGCTTACTATTATGCTTCTTCACAGAGTCAAAAGTCTTAAAAGTTGGACGCTGAAGAGGGTGGAAAACGCCGGTTCCTACAGATTCCTTCAAAACGTTGCCGTTTCGATGAACCAAACCTCTCTTCTGCAACCTTGCCTCTTGTCTCTGTAAAACCTTAGCTCTATCTTGCTGTGACTGTAAAACAACACAAGCAAAAAAAATCAAAAGATGAATAAACGAGAGCTAAAAGAGAGTGATAAAGTTTGCATTTTTATCACCTCGTTTTTGCGGATCCTTGAAAGATGAAGTTCATAAAACGGTTCAAGATTGAGCCTTTCTCGGTACAATCTCTGATCATCTTTAACACCATTAAGCCTTAAAGAAGACTGAAGAAGCCACACCAAAACAAGAACATGAAGTTTGTGAAGAAAATGTGAAACAGAGTAATGAAACAGAGGAAAAAGGAAATGACCTGAAGACTCGAAGGTAAAGCAGGAACCGGTCTGGGTTTACGACGGAGAAGAGACATCGAAGAGAACTGTTCAGAAAGTGTATCCACAACGTCGGAAGCGTACGGATGATCGCAGTGGTTACGGCTGAGAGAGTTGAATCTTCCGGCGGACGTTTCGAACTCGTTGAGGAACAGATGAGAATGAGAACGAGAACGAAACCCCATTTCTTCAAAATCCACACGAAACTGATGATTTCTTGCCATGAAAATCGAGAGATTGAAGAACTTTCTTTGAGAGTAAGCAAAAAAAAAAAGCTCTGCTTTTTAAAGTTGGTTTGACGTTACATATGTTTGAGAAAACATTAGAGAAAGACAAATATATCCATTTTTAATTTTTTTTTTTCAGTTATCACGCGAGTTGTGACTGCGAATGTCACGTGATCCACTACCCCACTCGCCCATTATCTTCATCAAGTCCAAACCTCCAATTATATGTTGACACGTAGAGTGGAGGTTGGCGCGTGTTATGAACGCTCTTAGTAGTGGAGTGTTTACCGTTTCTGCAACCGCCGCAGATACGAGCCACCAATTATTATGCCTACACGTGTCAGAGCTGTTACCCTATTAGTGTTAGTTATATTGTGTGCGCTTGTGTATGTTTCGTTTCGTGCACCTTTCTCGACTCTTGATTAGCAAGTAAAGAGATTTTTTGAGGACAATTCGGAGATAGAAGACGAAAAGTTTATGAGTATGGAAAGAGAAAGTATCCACTTCTCAAAAAGATATGGAAAGTATTATTTCACAGAATTTCTCTTATTGATGAAGAAAAAAAAAGAGTAATGCATCAAAAAACTAAAATAAAAAATTGGGTCCAAAATGGGCTCGTCTTAGATGAAAATGTAGATGATTGGTACATTGATTATCTTTGTTTCATGGGCTTTAGATTCCTAACCTTCTCTCAAGTCGTTGTGCTCCATCTATTTTTAGATTCAAATTGGGAAATAAATTTCCTTAAGAAAAAGATTTTGTCAATGGATGTTGTTTAGGAAAAAACTGAGGAAATTTGTTTACGAGAATATGTCATGTTAGAACATAATGTCAAAATTACTTGTTTCAATAATTTTGTAGATATAGAAAGGTTTACTTTAGAGTTTAGAGTTAGACCTTTATAAAAATCCTTGGCCTTGTTGATTCATTTTTTTTTTATTTTTTTTAATATACTAAGCAGAAGGGGAGACAAATTTAAAAGCTTAGTTCAAGAATAGCCCAATAAAGCCCAATACACACAATCCATTTTTAATTTGTCTACCAGACTCTTCGGGGGATAAGGTAGGTCTAAAATGTGTAATCCATAAATATCTGATTTTTTTTATTATCATCAAATGTGAGTTAGATGATATCCAAATCGTATATTGGTAATGGGGTTGGACAAAAACATGTGTACACACTTTTGTTGGACACTTTTTTTTTTATATATACTGATTGTTTCACCTAAAAAGATACGACTAGAGAGATCCGATAAAATTAACATGTCAATATAGCGGTATATACGAAGGAAAACAACGAAGTCATAGGTAAAGAGCAAAATTCTCTTTTGGGTTTTGTTGGCAGAGCAAACTTCCAAGCAAAATTCTTTTTTGGCACAATACATTAGAATTTATGATTCGTACGACATGTAAACTTTTCTCTGGAACTGACTTAAAAGAAATTTGACTTTTTACGGATGTATGAATATTGGAAGCACAAGTTACATCAATGTGAATACAACTTTAGTTTTTTTATATATAGTCTGTTTCAGTTTATTTTAGTACATGCTACTCACTTTCTCATGACACATGTTGTTTTCTATGAACCTTAATCCCAATCAATTGAAAAGATAGAAGAAAGAGGATAAGTTTTTTTTTTTTTTTTACAAATATAGAGGATGATTGGCATTGGATTTTATTTTAATGGGAATTTATTCAAATCTTTTTTTTTGTAAAAATGAAAATAAAATAAATAATAAGAGACATGTAGGATACCACACTATGGTGTAGTAATGTGAAAGTTGGAATCTCATAATTGAACAAGAATAAAAAAAAGCTTACAACTTGCTCTTCAAAAAAGTTATTGCCAAGGCCCCATATCCCTACTATTCCCCATTCATGTTTTCGATTTTTCTTAATTTTAAATTTATATATTTTATTTTCTATGTGAAAGAACATCATCATATAATGTTTTTGTTACACAACTTTGGAACTACTCATATATAATATTTTTTGTCATGATATGATGGTAAGATCACGCCTAGATCCTCTTTACCCTTCAAAGATAAAAATTAGGTAAAACTCCATATTCCTCATGGAATCGTACCATTGCTTCCTAAATGGATTCGTTTTTATCGTGATTATATTTATCATACCAGAATCGATCCTAAGTCTATATATTCAGAATAATCTCAGACTCGGGATCACACATTAGATATCTCAAAAGGTTAGTTCTATATGTTTTATATTTTCTTTAAGAAGATTAATTTTTAGGAGTTCCAAATGTAAAAACTAGGAACTCTAAATACATAGGATGGACTCTGATTAAGTAATTTCACTTCTTCAATATATAGTATACTATCAATGTATACGCGTGAAAAATACCATGAGTACTATACATTTTTAATTTGTTTTACGAAATCTATGTATTAGAAATATCAGATCAGTTTGTCTTTTGCTCATTAGATATTATTTATTGAGTTCTCTCTTCTAATCATAGGAAAAAGTTCATTTTTCAATGTTTCATAGCTTTATGAATTTAAGTATTATTTTTGAAGTGTTGTGCTTGACAAAATGAAACACAACAAAAGATTGACATGAGTTATGTATAACAATGATTCTGATAGTGAAGTGGATATTTCATATTTTATATGCACACACTGACACACATGCATCGATACAATACATATGCAGTTTATATACACCCATAAGTATATATACGACTTTATTAGGGACCCAAACTCCCTTCGATCCCTATGGAACCAGATTCGATACTTCATGTGTTATTACTAAAATTTGCGGACTAAGAATTCTAATACAAGAACAAGACCATAAACAAACAAGAACGATCTAACTTTCTCTTTTTACCAAATGTATGTAGGTATATGTGAATCTCTCTCTCTCTGAATCTTGTGATAATATAATCATATATTCATATATATAACTAATATCGATATATTTTCATGAAAATGCGAAGATGTCACTAAATAAACCTTAGTAGTTTTTTCATGCCATTTTATTTTAAATATGCATGTTTTGTTTTCAAATAACAACCCGTTTCTTCTCCCAGAAATTTTAAACGTATATCAGCATACATATATATATATATATATACATCATAACAAACTTTAATATCGGTAAACTAGATTTGGGCAATTACTGTGGTGTAGCCTTATTGAGTCTTGACCTATTTATTGAATGGCCAGTGGTAGCCTTGTCTTTCACCCAAATTTCTGTTTTTCAACATTCAATGTTGTCCCTAGGAAAATATATTAAAAAAAACACATGGAACTTTCGCAACACAACAACAACAAAAACTATATATTCCAGGAAACTTGCACCGAGTAATTTGGTACGATAGCTCGACCTCCATAGTGTCCTAGTAAGTGCCAAACTTATTTTACGGAGTGTTTGAGAAATTATTTTATTGTCGTCATCTCAAGGGCAATTTTGAAAAGAAAAACATTTACTTATGACTTTGGTATAGAACGCTATGTTTTTTCTTATTGGGTTTTCACAATAGGGTTAGATATCCATGCGCTCAACTTTTTTCCCTAACACTGTTTCAAAGAATTATTATTCTTTTTCTTTATTTCGACATCTCCAAAGAATCATTATTCACAGTCACTTTCAAATAGCCTAGGCAGTTTCTTTTTCTTTTAACTTTCATACATTACCCCGATGCGGGTAGGTCTCGTAAAACCGATTTGATTGCATTAAAATGGAAGTCAATAATCAAAAGTCAGGCTTTGCCCACCCTTTGACCGCACAATTATACAAATGTGATCATATCTCTTTGTTTCTTTTTTTTACTTTTGAACCAAAGCCTCATTACCATATATAGCCGCCGAAATAATAACCACTGGTTCTTCATAACCCCACTTTGTGACAACATATAAGTTCATGGAGATGATCACAATGCTTTTAATTTTAATGTTACAGCTAGAAATTATCTTCGTAACACAGATTTTGATATAATATACGCTCAAAATTATTTGTTTTTTATTTTTAAATGATCACTTTTGGGTATATTTTTTTCATCAGAACATTAACACAATAACATTGTGATCTCTTAAATTTTTTTATAATATATATATATATATATATATATATATATATATATTATATATCAAACTGTTTATTTTCAAGTCTAAAATTTAAGAATCTAAGAAAAACTAACAAACAAATGACAAAAATAAACAATTATCATTTGTGTTTTTTTTGGTGTCAACTGTAAATACTATTTTAAATTATCATTAGTTTACTTGATTATTTTTGCTTTTTAATTAACTTAGATTTCTATTAATTTAAATGATAATATATAAAAATAATTCAATAAATATAGACTATATGAGACAAAAAAAAAAGACATAGACTATATGAAAGTTTTAAATTAAACAGAAATTTTCTTAGGTGGACATTTTAGATGAAAAGAGAATTTATCCTAATTAAAATATAGATTATATAATACTCATAGTGAATGACTAACTCCTCCTTTACACTTTGTAGGCTTGCGAATTCACAATCTATTGAACTTACTCTCATAATATCGAAGCTCTATACCAAAACAATTTTTTGAAGATCTCACGACCTAAAATATCCAACCACTCTTGTTGGTTTTATATATATTAAAAACATATTATAAAAAAAGTTATGGTTCGCGGATAGACCTACCAGTATATTAAATCTTAAATGCAAAATCTAATAAATCTGGAGAGGTAGCCACTTGCTCGTACACCCTCAAAGCTCCTCCATCTCTATGATTGGGGTTTTCACAACATTATATCACCATGGTTCATGTGACCTTGACGTGTCTCATCCTCATTGGTCACCTGATGACAGCAAATTTGGACTGTTCCTGTAATGTTTTAATAGTCCACTGCCTCTTTGGTCGGGTCATGGGCTTCTTCTAATTTTTGCATGTTTTTAGAATACACACGTATTATGATGTTAGGCACACTTTTGTGAAAAGTCTTTTTACAATCTTTTAAAAAACTTATCTTCATCATTATT